GTATTTTAGTAATCTTTCTAATTATCATGGGTACCATCAAGAAAAAAATGCATACTTTTTGAATTATATGCAAATACAGTTTTTTTCCTTCATAACTTTTTTTCCAGAAATTTAGGGGAATGGGACTATTTTTCGCATGTGAAGGGGAAGAATATCTTTAAAATGAGTGGTAAATCATTGGATTTGATGAAGAAGTGACGAAGTTATGGCGTACCGACAAAAAAACACCTTTTAGAAATAATATATAGGATAGATAAGCATTATCATGTGATAAAGGGACACTATGGATCGTCTTATGATTTGAACCCACAAGTTTACATCATTTGAATTGACGTTATCGAAACATCCTGTTGCTAATAAGTGCAATATTGTATTGCACTATATTGTAATATAATATATATTCAAAATTATAAAGCTTTATGTTCCGTTAGTTATTAATTAAAATGTCATTTAGACAGGCTCGTAAAATAAAAAAAAACTTAACCAACTGATCTTGAGTTGTGTGTAATAACATTGTTCCCACCGATCCTTAAACGACGAAGACAGGTTTTCATTCAGAAAATCTAATAGGATAAAAAAATTTAAGCAAATTGGATCTAAATAATGTATCTAATCTGAAGAAAATGTTTTTTTTTTTTACAATTTTAAATGCGTTAATTAGGATGAAAGTAACAAAAACTGAAGGTAATTTTAGAATAACTACAAATTTATAAAAACTACAGACAAATTCTAAATTGTAATTATCAACTTAGGGATTGAAATAATTAAATTTACAATTTTTTATCTTATGCAAGAACTTACGTCTTCCAAACTCTTTATGCTCAAACTGAAAATAACAGCTGTTTTGGACAATCATAAGTTATGCTTGTAGTTATCAATATATAATTATTAAATATAAATTTTTTTAAGAAACATAACAAGAAATTTTTATCATGAGATGAAGAATTCAGATGAACATTAACATGAGCATAAATAAGAAAACATCTGGTGCGCCCAACACAGAACTTTCACTTACAGCTCTACTTGCGTATAAATTATTTCCTGGCTATTTTGGGCTATTATACATTTTTTTCTAAGTGCATCTTTGACCGAACTAAAACTTAAAATTAACAAATCAATAATATAATTAAAATAACAAAAATCCTACTTATTATAACGACGGTTGATTATGGATTGTACGATCCACTGATTATGGGTTGTACGACTACTAATTATTAAAATGTTTTTTCCATTGCAAAGTTTACTAAAATGGAATTACGAGATTAGTATTGCCTGTCATAGATAGGTCAAATGATGTCACACTAATTGTAAGTTCGGATGTCGTAAAGGGAAAATTCATCAAATTATTCACTAATTTAATTTTCTAAAAGTTTACATGATGATTTTTCGTAATAAACGGACGATAGATACCTAATTATTTAAATATAATATCAGATCTAGAGTTATTAAACTACATTAAATGTATTTAATGTTTTATATTTCAATTTTTCTTTCACACAAATAAAATGAAATAATTTTTTAAACGATGTTATTACCTTGATCCGGTGGATTTTAAATTTCAAATGGATTTTTCGAAAAAAAATTTAACGTTTACATTTAGTAAGAAAATTCCATTTAAATGCCTTGGAATAATGTTAGTTTTCAGAAATTATTATTTATATTTTTTTCGTCTCTCTCCGTTACTTTCTACAACTTTATTTATTATATACTATTTTTTCTAAAATTCTTCGATTTACAACGATATATTATACGTATATCTTCTGACTATTATTTCCAGAGATTCATTTTCGACCTGGACAAACATTTTTCTTTTTTTTCCTTTATTCAATTATCAAATTCTTTCAAAAGTTTAGCCATTTTTTTATAGTTACTTTATAAGAGAAATTTATTTTTTAAAACTTTGTAGGAAGACGTATATGAACATTGGGCATTTAAGCTCTGTAAAGTGACATAAATATGGATAAGACCTAGCTGATATTAAAAAAAAACTTAAAAATACACTGATATGCCGAGTTTAATCAAAATCGTTAGAGCCGTTTTCGAGAAAATCGTAAAAATGTGTAGCACTGTTGATATGAAATGATAGATCCGGTTAGCTTATTTTAACGAGAAAGTTGCTGTCATATCGGAACCATATACAAACCGTTTTTTTAACTTTATGTATTTGAATAGGTAAAATCAGTTTCGTACGACTTGAGCCAGACTGTTCACATACACACATACAGACACACAAACCATTTTGCGGGACTTGATTATTTGGACTCAGGGGATCTCAAAACGTGTATTTCTGTTGAAAACTCAGATTCGGTTTTTTCACGATCACGATACTTTCTCTTACTACATATTGTATATATATACAGATAAGTGAAAGTAAAAATATGGAGATGATAATCCGCATTATAAATTTTCTAATGTATTCTTTTAACTAACAAAATATCCTTATGAAGAAACTCTAGTTGACAAAACAATTTAAATTGATGAATTCTTTTCTCAAGGAGAAAAGTGAGTAAGGCAATGTACTCTTATTCTTAATGATCTGGGTTCAAGTTCAGCTGTGGCAGATAATTGTTTATTCTGTTTCATAAGCCATGACTCACCAGGAGATCCATTTGTGGTACACTCAGCCTCTAGTAAGAGGATACTCTTAATTAATTAAGGTTTGATAGATAGATGGTCCCACATCACTTTTATCAAATCCTCAACTAATTATTTATTCTTTTTCATCAGCTATGACTCACTGAGACCCATTTAGGGCACATTCAGTCTTTATTAAGAGGGTGCCTTTAATAAATTAGTCGATTCAGGGATAAACCTGAAGGTCGAGTATGATTTCACTCTTCTGTGCAAGAAGCAAGATAGCTCAGTGAGTTAGACATTGCACTCCTATGCTCAAGAGTCTGGGTTCAAGTCCAGCTGTGGTAAATAATTATTTATTCTGTTGCATCAATCATGACTCATCAGAAGACCCACTTGTGGCACACTTAGCCTATAGTAAGAGGTTAATTAATTGGTTAAGTAAGGATTGGTATCTATATAGTCCCACATCACTTTTATCAAACCCTCAACTTGTTGTTCTGTTTCATCAGCTATCACTCACTGAGACCCACTTAGGGCACACTCAGCCTCTATTAAGAGGGTACCTTTAATTAATTAATCGATTCAGGGAAAACCTTGAAGGTTGAACATAATCTCACTGAGCAAGAAGCAAGATAGTTCAATGAGTAAGACATTGCACTCATATTCTCAAGAGTCTGGGTTCAAGTCCAGCTGTATAAAAAGCTCGAAGTAATTCAAAATATGTGTATGAGAATCATAAACAACTATCCACGTTATACCAAAGTATCTATTATGCTAGCAGAATTACAGCCTCCCACAATAAAAAAATATATTTATTTTAAAACACAGAGATTTTTTGAGCTTACACCAACGTCTGAAAACCCTATGATCCGAACAATAGGTAACTATGACAAAACATCTTTGAAACGGTATACACACAGACGGACTAAACACATACTACTAAACGTCTAAATCAATCAGTTGATTTGTGAAAATTTAACGATTTCTTATCTATCGCCAAACAAGTAACAATAAACTCAATCACCCCAATCAACAAATTGTATTTATAGGATGTGTGTGTGTGTATGTATATATATATATATGTGTGTGTGTGTGTGTATATCTATATATATATGTGTGTGTGTGTGTGTGTGTGTTGTGTGAGTAAGTATTGTATGTGTAAATATATATATATAGTTTCCTTTTGCACATAAATTATATTTAGTTTTTCTTGTACTTTTAATAATTGTAACCTAGTTTTTTTCATTTACATCTTATGTAGGTTTTTATGAGATTTTTCCTACTATAAAAAATTAATTTCAATTTCAATTTTCTAAGTAGTATTCAAACCACCATTATGTCATGTGTAAGGTTAATGCAACCATAAACATGTAGCTTATCAGTATGACATGTTGTAATGTATATAATAAAATAAATAAATAAATAAATAAAAAAAAAAAAAAAGTCCAGCTGTGGTAAATAATTATTTATTCTGTTTCATCAGCCATGACTCACTGTGAGACCCACTCAGCCTCTATTAAGAGGCTACCTTTAATTAATTGATTGATTCAGAAGAAAACCTGAAAGTTGAGCAAGAAGCGAGATAACTCAGTAAGGCATTGCACTCCAGTTGACAAGGACCAGGTTCAAGTCCAGCTGTGGCAGATGATAATTTATTCTGTTTCATCAACCATGACTCACCGGGAGACCCACTTGGGGCACACTCAGCCTCTATTAAGAAGGTATCCTTAATTAATTAATTAGTCAAGTAAGGGTTGAAACCTTGATGGTCCCTTATCACTTTTATTGAATTCTATACTTTTTATTATGCAGGTGCAAATGTATTTTGCTTGTACATAAGTTCAACGTAGGAGGAAAATTGGAATCTAATGTACACATGATCCAATTTAAATTTTATCAAATTCTATTTTCAAATTTTGCATTCCAGATACCTATCCTTCTATAATAAACTTCATAACCATTCGAATCCTCTTGTTTCTAACCTTGCTTCCTCTTCGATTCCTGATAACCCTCCGAGGCATCTGAAAAGAAGATGGCCTCGTGATCTTCTCATGTAGACAAATTATTGGAGTGCTACCAGTGGGTAGTTTCTCAACAAGCGTGTTTCGTATAATAATATTTCTCTGTACAAATTTACTTGATGTATTCATACTAATACAGTTGTAAATATCATAATAAAAGTTAAAAAAAAAAAAAATTTTGCATAAGAATGAGTAAATATATTTTCTTTTACAAGCGTGTTTCAAAAATGGTTTGTTCTGTAGAATTTATTCTCAAAAAATTATATTACTTTATTAATTTTCAAACAAATCACTGATCTTGAAATTAAGTTGATCTTTTAATAATAGAAATGCTAAGAAAACTATACTGACCCAATATAGCAGACTTTTTTCCTTTTAAGTAATACTATGAAACATACTAGAGATGAAGCATTTAGAAAATCAATCAACAGATACTTACAATATGGGTTACTGGGTCAACACAGCAATACCAAATACACAAGCTACAAAATTAATAATTTATTTTTCTTAAAATTAAAATTAAATTAAATACATATAAATATTAATAATAAATTATGTAACAATCTCTGCACAATACTCACATTGTTTCATATAAACAACTCTATAATTATTTAAATAAAAGATTTTAAAAGCAAAACATTTTTATTAAGTACATAGATTTAATAAATACTTTTTTTTATAAATAATAATATAATTTTTACATTTCTTAGATAAAAGAAACAAATTTGTTCTTTGATAAATAAAAAACCTTTTTTTTTTTTATTTAGTCATTTAGGTATCAAAGGATTTATGGAAACATTTTTGTTTGAAGAGGTTTCCTGAAATGTATTTACTTTAAATCTATTTTTTAATAAAACATTTTTCTTCATCAGGAACAGTAAAATTCATAACTAAAAATATCAAGAATATTAAAACTAACATAATTTTAATTAATTAACTTCATTCAGATTCACTTAGTTGAAATCTATTAACACAGATTGACTTAAAATAATTTCTAAAAATATATTTACAGATCCCTAATAAATAAATAAAAACAAATACAATCACAGGATTAAAACAATGAGCATCAACTGATAAGGAAATAGTTGTAACCTCAACAACAAAATGGATTTAAACAAAAAAACCTTCAGTTCTTCAAACTAGACCTGCGTCATGGGCCATTCCATGGAAAATCGAAGATTTGTTTTTAATAAGTTCACTTGGGCTGTCGAACTCTTTCACTCGACCCTGATCAAGAACCAGCACTCTGAAAATTTCAATAAAAAAATTATTTAAAGCATTAGATATAATACTAAACTGGATTGTTTTAAAAATATATTAATCTATTACAAAATAAGGTAGTATCAAAAATTGATCACAAATAAATTTTTATGTTGATTTTATTGTGTTTTTTCTAAAATATCTCTATATCTCAACGTTTCAGAAAAATCAAGCTTGGATTTGCGATATCTGAGTATATATCCTTGTGTAAATAGGGGGTTATTTTTTATGAAGGCCAACAAAGAATAAAAATAAAGTTTTTTTATTTTAATCTGATATTAAAATGTATGTAATGAATATAATTTATTATCATCTCTATTTAACCCTTTTTTTTCAATATACATTGTTAATAGGATGCACTTAGGTATGCAAAGAAGAGAAATCATTAGTTTAGTATTTTCTTACTGTAATAAATATTCATATTAAAGTTATAATAAACTTTTAATTTTTTAAGTAATGTTATTGTCGAATGTGGTTTTATTTTTCAAAACATGAGATTCTGTAGTAGATGGTAACAAAAAACTAATTCTGTTCTCAAATATGATTTGTAGGCACAAAAACTCATGTTCAACACTATTAGTCTTTCTGTATTATTCTAAAGGGACTCGTCCCAGAATAAATAAAGTATTATTATTATTTCCATTCTTTATTCTTGCTTTGCGGGGTAAATTTCTGAGGTGGGAGACCAGAAGTCCAGCCACCTTCATATTAATATTTATTATTTTTTAGACATTTAAAAACTTTCGAACAATACATGCTGTGTCTAAGAGAACTGAGTGTTGAGCCTCTTTCAGCACTTCAAGAGGTAATTTTAATCCCATCGTTATTATTATTATTATCTCTTTATTTTCCACATATACAATGGTGTTTATAATATGTAATAGTTGGGGACCTATTAGGTCAGCCAAAAATTACATTTATATATTTTCATAATTATTTAATATTTGTGAACTTCCTGACTATACTTGCTGTTCCCAACAACACCGCTTGTTGTGTTCTTTCGATCGTCTGAGATGGTAGTTCTAGTTGTCGCAGAGAAGATAGAGTTTCTTCCGGTATCAGTCCGTTGCACGAGATTACAATTGGCAGAATTCGGGTTTCCTTTAAATGATACAATTGTTTGATCTCTTCAGCCAATTCTATGTACTTTCTCTTTTTTTATGCTACTACCTTGTGTAGGTTATCATCAGAAGGAACTCCAATATCCAATATTATTTATATCCAATATCCAATCCAAAATTATTATTATTATTATTAAAACAATGCTGTTACATGAAACTTGTACTGTCATGAGTCGGAAATCTTTTCCATATGTCAAAGAAACAAAATGGCACCAAAAATGCAGTTTAATAGTAACTAAATTAACAACTAGAGCCACCTATGGATGAAATCCAGTTTCATATTGACGTACCTGGCAAAAAGATTCCACAATAAATAGAATTGTTATAAAAATAAGAATCAAATGAATTACCTGTCAGAATCCATGATGGTATTTATCCTATGGGCTATCGTTAACACCGTGCAGTCACTGAATTCAGATCTGATTGTCTTCTGGATAAAATCGTCAGTTTCCAGGTCAACTGCTGCCGTAGCTTCATCCAAGATCAAGATCTTAGTTTTACGGAGGAGAGCACGAGCGAGACAAATCAACTGTCTCTGTCCCACGCTAAATAGAGGAAATCAGTTTAGAACAATGAAAGTAGTCCTTTTCTTCATACAATTTATAAAGATATTCCTTGGCTTTCATTTAAATCATTTAAATTTTTTTAATTATGGTGAGTATTACTTGAAATAAATGAAATGGCTCACCTTATATTCTCACCACCTTCAGTTACTTCATGCTGTAAACCCGCAGGCAATCCTTTTACAAATGCTTTGAGATGTCCAAGTTCTAAAGCTCTCCAGACTTGTTCATCGCTATAGTGACCGAATGGATCAAGATTCATACGTAAACTTCCAGAAAACAGGACGGGATCCTATCAAATTAAAATAAAACATAAATAAGGAAGCTCATCATTGAAGGGATGATATCAACTAATTAGTTACCACATGTTGATAGGAGGCAAAGCTAAGCATATGGTGATCATAAATAACTAATTACTCAAAGCTATATTTCTTTGTTAGCTATATTGTTTTTAAACAGTTTTTTTTCTAATTAGCCCAACAAGCTATATTATTTATAAACAAACTGTAGTTTTTTATTTATGAAGTATAAAATTATAATATAATTAAGGAAAGTGAGTAATGTCTATATCCTGAAAAATTTAATTTAAAAATTATTCTTCCTTACCTGAGGAATGATAGTCAGTCGGGATCTTAAAGCGTGCAGTCCCAGTTTAGCGATATCAACCCCATCAATGAGAATCTTACCCCCAGCGGACTCGATTATTCTGAATAAACAAAGGGTTATTGATGATTTGCCAGCACCAGTACGACCCACAATACCAATCTGGAAAAATATGAAAATGTTCCTTTATTAAAACAATTTTAATCATATGTTTTATATAATAAAGATAATTTAGGTTAGGAACAGAGCCAACAATTTTATAGAGTAAAAAATATAAAATATGCATAAACCAAAAAAATTCCCAAATAGGTAATAACACATCTAAAATATTGAAACATGCAAATGTTCTGACAGTAAAAAAATAAATTAAATTAAGAATTAAAAATGAAGTGAAAATTTTTGTTTTAATTTTTTTTTATAAATCAAATTAATTAAAACTTAATGTAGCAAAAAAATAAAATAAAATAAAATAAAAATATATATGTATTAATGTTTAAATCATAACATGAAATGAAATGAAAATATATTTTATTATTCTGGGACTGTTGTCCCTTTAGAACAAATTAATGAGTTCATATTACAAAATTGGGTTTTACAATAGATAACAAATGGTGGAAGCCGAAAGTCGAGAGGCATAAGAAAAAAAAAATTGTTCAAAATACTTCAGATTAATTTTAATAATTTAATCCAGTAAAATTTATAAATAATATTCAAGCTAAAATACATTAGAGTAACACTAAAAAAAAATTTTATTTTGAAACATTACCTTTTCACCACCTTTGATAACCAGATTGATTCCTTTAAGTACTAAGTCCAGGCCTTCCCGATACCTCACTTGATAGTCGATAAACTCCACTTTACCTTCCTGAGGCCAATCTGATCCTGCAACGCTAGGAGTGATTTCCCAAGCTGCTTCCTTAGATAACAAAACAAAGAATATTTAAGATTATGTTCAGACGTGGTTTTGTAAAAATAATAGCTTCAGTATTGTCTATGTTGAGGTGTGAATCCTATTTTTTTTAAGGTATTTAGATGTTTTGCTGAATGATTGTTTTAGTCTATTAATAATGGTATGTATAAGTAAGAGGAACTAAAATTATATTATAGTTAGTGGAAGTCAGAATTCAGTAAATGTTTATTATTTGTCATTTGACATAAGATTGAAGTGAGGAGCCATATTTAAAATATAGGCTTATACAAAATACATCTATAACTAAAATATGTTAATAGAATTTCCTCCAAAATATCATAAGCTTTCATCAAAATTAGATTTACTGTAGCAGGTATTAAGCCCCACACATAGCCACCTGTCTAGAAGTTACTAATGCGAGAATGCTGGCCTCACTATCTATACCGATAGTCAGCCGGCACTACAAGCACTGGAATTCCTCAAAGTGACCTGCACGCTGGTAAACGAGTGTAAACAGGCTTTGGAGACACTGACCTGCTCTAAGAGAGTGGAACTAGTGTGGGTTCATGGTCACAAGAGAATTAAAGGCAATGAAAAAGCCAATGTCCTTGCAAGGAAAGGATTGGACTTGGAAAAGAGCAGGTAAAAAATGGAGGGAATGCACTGGGCTTAGACAAGCCAAACAATTTATCAAAAGCCCCTCCTCATAAAAAACTAAGTGGCTGCTGGACCAAACTAAAAAAGAAATCTGACTCACCATCAGAGTAATAACAGATCAATGCAGAATTAAAAAAAGATCTGTGGGATAGTAAATGATGAACTCTGCAATCTGTGCAGAAACTGCCCTTCACTTCAATACAGAATATGACCGATTTGTGTCACTCAGATACAGACTTCTGGGTGCAGACAGAATACAAGTACGCGAAGCTACCTCCATAAAATGGTCCAACCTTTTGAACTTCATTAGAAGTTTGAAATATGAAATTGAACATAGTTGGAGGTATAATAGCCAACCATTGGTAATGTCCTTGGGATTGGCAAAAAGGACCAATAGGCCCACTTGCTGGACTAAGTCCCCAACCAGTACCAGTACCAGTAAGCCTGTCATATAGATTTGACTACATACAGACAGAGACAAAATCATATTTATTTCTTGATGTCTATAATGTAGTGGATGGCCTCTGTAGTGTGGTCACATAAAGCTGCTTACTCAGAGCAGATGGATATTAGGCAATATCTGATTGAGGTCATTGAGTGAGGAAATCATGAGCAATTGAATTAGGATGATTGAGTGCACAATTAATTAGACTCAATTGTGAAGTGAAGAAATGAGCTTGGAATATTATCCAACAGATAGCTGCAGCAGGCAGGAATGTTACTGATAAAGATTGTTAGACACTAATTTATTAAATGATTGTTACAGTGAATAAACAGTTTTCTGAATAAAAATACCGATAAATAAATAATATATTGTCTAAGATTAGGTCAAAATGGTAATTCAAGAACCATTTCTTAAAAATAAAATGGAGAGAGGGAAGAACTGGAGAGGGATGCTGGTGTGAGAGAGAAGAGTAGGAGGGAACATCGGCAAGAGAAGTCGTGAGAGAGCTACCATTTATTGAAGCATTTGTCAAGGATATAAGAGGAAGGTCGGAAATAGGGTAGCTAAAGGATAGAGTCCCAGGTTCGAATCTCAGCTTAGGGCAGTTAATTTATTTGTTGTTTTTTATTAGCCGTGGGTTGATCCTGGGGTCGAGCGACCCTCCTGGGGTAGCCTCTAATAAGTGGGTTAAAAATAATTAATTAATTAATTTAAGGGGGGAAACCTGAGAAAGTTACTACTGAAATGTTATAGTATATGTAATTATTAGTATCTGACTACGTTAGTTAGAATAAATTAGTTGTTTTGGACAGGAGTAAATAAAAGTATTTAGATTGAGTATTTAATAGTTGCCTGTCGCATTATAAAGGAAGGAGATGGTCCGGGGTGGCGGTCATAAATAGGCTAAATAGTGGTAAAACTATTTTTATTAAAAGCAAACGTTTCAACCCGATTTTGCAGGTCTTCTTCAGGGCTAGAACGGACAAGATACAAAAAGGTAGTTTTAGATAAAAATAGTTTTACCAATATTTAGCCTATTTATGACTGCCACCCCGGACCATCTTCCTTTAGTATTTAGAGTGAAGAATAACAAACTAGGTGAGTCTAATTCATTCAAAGTGTGTTCATCCATTCTAAAATTTGAGGTTTATTTCTTATTCTTATGACGAAATGTCACTTAAGAATTAATTCCCTGAAGAATTAATTCCCCGACTGCAGTAGACACCCTCAAAAAGTTTATCCAGAGCAGGTGCTTTATTTTAAAATTACTTACAGTTATAAATAAAGTAAAATATGAGTGGAAATTTATGATTCTGAAGACAAACATTTTTTTTTCTATTCTGCATGAACTAATTTTTCCTACCTTACGTACTAAGAAATTATAAAAAAGTAGATAACTATAATAATAAAAAAAACCTTTTATTTAATATAAACTAAAAGACAACAATTTTTACCTGGGGTGTATTGGTATACTCTTTGATTCTCTCAACTGATACAATATTATTTTCAACTTCAGCCGTAACCTGAACTAAGAAATTCAAGGCACCTGTAATCTAAAAATTGAAATTAAAAAAAACATTTTGTAATAATTAAAAAAAAAAATAATCATTTCAAAGAAAAGCATCCATACCTGTAATGTATAACTGACAGAGAGACCCACGATACCTGGGCTCAAAGAATCTTTTCCAATAATGGCAAAAAGTGTTGCGAAGAAAATAATAAAGTTTCCTATCATCTGAAGTCTCACTGATAGCCACCTAGGGTTATATTGGAGTATTAATAAGCAGTTTTTTTATGGAGTTATAAATAAATATAGTAATATTGAAAAAAAATCAGTTTTCGTTCTGTAGGTTCTACTCAAAACTGTTTCTGATGATTTTCATTTATGATTAAACTTGAACATTCTTAACTAAATTCATCAGAAACAGTTTGAATTGAACCTATAAAACAAAAACTGACTGTTTCTCCACTTTCTGAAAATGACAGATGTCCGTATTTGATATAAAGTCAGTCATATATATATATATATATTTAAACCTAACTATTTAATTGGGTATAAGGTCACTTATTAATTATTTAATAAACTATTGAATGTTCATTTTCTCTATGTTTATTGACGTTTCAATCCAGGTATTTTCTTTTTATAAGTCAATGATGGGATCCTCTTCAAAGCTAGAATTTTAAAAAATAGAGCTTCGATCAGGCCAGGGACACACCGACAGTCTCAGCACCGTCCACTAGCACATATATTTAGCTACTCTTAATACTTACACTAGCACAATATGATCACTTCCTTAAAGATCGATTAAGGAAAAGTTGTAAAGATATACATATATATATATATATATATATATATATATATATATATATATATATATATATATATATATATATATATATATATATTTGTTAAATTTATTTCATTTTATTGTACGCCATTTAGCCTGCATCAAGCCTAGCAAATTTGATGTAATAATTATTTGTTGTGAATTTGCTTGATTTACATTAATTTTATTATTATTGAATTAGTAGATCTATTGACTATTTTCTTTTCAATCTCCATCAAGCAGGTAACTATATTTATTCTATAACTATCTTATTATATCTATTCTATTTATCACTATATCTGTATATAGTAATATATAGAAATATAGTAACATTTTTTTTCTAGTTATATAAGAGTTATATATTAATATAGAAATATAATAATAAATATAATTATAATAAAATATTATGGGAGTGGGTTAGCTCAGTAGTAGGGCACTGACTTCTAAAGCTCAAGGTTTGAGATTCGGCTCTGGCTGATATTCAGCTGTGATCTGACGGTTGAGCATGATTTCGGGCCAATTACCTCCTTGTACAACCATTGACCTAATACTTCCTTACATAGTACTGAACTTTTCATGGGTTGTAGTAGTTTAAGGCCTTTTTTTTAATATAATATAATATAAATAAATATTGTAAATTAGATATAATAATCAAGTAATATTTTTTATTTAGTATTTTAAAGTAAGCTTTTATAAATAGGGCCAACTTATCCATTGAGACAACCAAACTGGCTGCCGAGGACGGATAAGATCAGGAGCAAAATATTTGTAGAGCAGAATCGTAAGCAATCTTATAATTTTTATTCTCTTGGCATTGCAGACCTGGTAGATCTTTTGCCACCTTAACCAACCTTCTCTATTTCTGCTTATCTTAGACTATTTATTTCCAGTTATCTGCTTGCAGTTCTATTGCATCTTTGTTGATTCATTGTTATGCAGAGGCTTTCTGATGGATTGTTCCAAGCTACAGGTCCCACCCATCTTAACCCCTTGCCTTCCTATCAATAGTTATTGATTGATCAGTTTTTATGAGCAGCTCTTTATTGATCTTTCTACTATATGTATTGGTAGTTTGACTCCATATCACCCCGGTTATTGTGCAGAGGACTTTTCTTTCAAATCTTTCAATATTTCCTTCTAGTGTGCTAATTAGTGTCCAGACCACGTAGTATATCAGAATTGGCTTTATCATAGTATTTTACACACTTAATTTGAGATTTCTAATATCTTTAAAAGAGATATTATTATCAGATGGTTATTATCAGAAATAATTAACCAAAATACTAAGTCAAAAAGATAAATTAGCACAATGTGACCACTTACCTCCCAGCAATAATGCTAGAGAAAGAACAAGATTGGTTTAAGTCTATTTTCATTTCTGATTCCTTTATAAATCTCTTCTGCGCACAATAGGCTCTGATCACTGGAGCACCTAAAGTAAACAATTATTTTTTGTTAGACTTGCAAACTCGTAACGTTGTAGCAAGAGAAAACGGCTATATTTAATATCCCTAGCATAGACATAGAGGTAGTTCTTAAAATCAGTCTACAGTACATTATTATTTTTATCAAATTATTAACATCCATCTAAAGCTTCATCTTATCACAACATTGATCACAATATATCATAATATTTTTCACAACCTACAATTCAAATATTCCATTCAATCCCGTCTCACTAGATCTCGTACCTCCGACCTCTATCCACCTTCCCACCGAACTGCAGCATTTGACAAATCCTTTATAATTCAAGCTGTCTCCTTCTGGAATACCATCCCTCCCGATATCCGACATGTACAATCAGTTTCCTCATTTAAATCTCTCCTTTTCAACCACCTACCCCTTTCCCAACCCGATTGATCATGAAATGTAGATAAGAGAACTTATAAAGTTCCCCCAGAAATTATTTTCTTTACTTATGCTATTTTATTTTATTATATAGTTTGTATTATACATATCAGAATGTTTTTAGTGTAATAGTTTTATTTTTTGTTTTATTATTTTTTCAAAATCTTAATCTTAATAATAAATGTAAATAATTGATTTTATGTATGGCCACACAGGCATTTATTCTGTATCTGTAATTTGTCCTAAAGGGACAACAGTCCCAGGATAGTAAAAAAATATTTTCATTTCATTTCATTGATCTTATCCTACGAAATTTTTATTTATGAGAATTTAAATGGGACATTTTGAATATGAAATCGGCAAACTTTGTCTATTTAATTAGGTACTAAAAACTCAGTAATCAACGTAAGATACCTGAAACACTCTCACTGAAATGAGAAAATACCGGTGATCTAGAAGTAGATTCTATTCTCCTTAGCTGTTGAGATGAAGCAATATAAAATTTCTGTAAAAAGTATTTTACAATGTTATTAATTCCAATAATTCATGTTTATATATCAATTATATTAATTATCAATGTCAATAAAGTTACAATACCTGTAAGAAATAGTAGAGAATGCCAAGAGGTAGAATTAGTGCCATGAATATTGGTGTCGAGTAGCTGATTACAATAATGGTTCCAATGACCTACAAGTGAAGGTTCATAATATAATAAAGTATATTTATACCTTATACACAATAGAAAGATTTGAGGTTGTAAGGATTTGATGATTTTGTGGAACCCCAAAGCCCAACTTTTTTAGTCTAAATAGAGACCTAATTATTGTCATGTATAATATATAAATCTTTTGTAATAAATTGGAAGCTTAGAGCATTAGTCTAGTAAGTGCTGAAGTAGCTAGAAACGTCAAGCAGTTTATCTTTTCAGTTTTGTATGATTCCACATTAGACCAGCTAGGGTCTCAGATATCAGATTTGTCCAACAGTGCTACATGAGGTATTATTAAATGATACTGTAGAGTAGGAAATCATAGGTTTACGACAAAGTATAAAGGTGGTTCGATAGAATATATTGGAATTTCTTTCGATCCCCTAGTTCTTACATTGCTCTTCTATTGATGGGTCATCATTAACTGATAGGACACATGTGTCATCTGCATATGTAGGATGGATTGGGATAACAGCTGTATAAACTGTGTAGAGGATAGAACCTAGGATACTTTGAGGAACACCAGCTGACTGGGACAAAGAAATAAATAGCCATTATTGTGATTTACTTTAAAATGTCCGATGGTAAAATAGGAGCAGATAATAAGAAAGTACATAGGATGTCAGAATTTATGGAATTTGTACAGCAGCCCCAAGTGACAGCTCGATCAAAAGCACAATAATTATTTTTTTTTAAATTAAAATGAAGTTCATTCAGGAAGTAAATTCCTTCTCATTGATAATTTTGAATGTGAGGTGACATTTAATCATGTAAACACAATTTTTGCTGGCACATTGTCTTAAGTTCCTTTTCACTACAGAAATTAAAATTCACTTAATTTTAAAGGCCTCGCTTCAAATATTATGAAAACTAATATAAAGGAAAAATAAAATAATATATATATATATATATATATATATATATATATATATATATATATAATACTTAACTATTCCAAACAAGGCAATAAATGAAATAAATAAATAAAGACATAAATGAAACCACTTACTGGTGTCACCATAGAGAAAACCTGTTTCATGACAAAAGGTATCAAGTTGTCTATTACATCTATCTCCTTTGAAAAACGGTTAAGAATTCTTCCTAGTGGTGTTGTATCAAAAAATGACATTGGAGACCGCATCATATTCACTAACAATATATAATGCAGTAATATCCCAGCATTAACACAACCTACGTACCAAGAGAGAGAGGAAAAGAATGTTGAACCAGCTGAAAATAAACAAAATAATAATGATTATTAATAATTTTTAAATATTTAAGTGAGAAAAAAGTAGATAAAGTCAATAGCTATCAAAATAGAATAAATATATCTTTATATTTTATATATTTTTTTATATTTATTTTTATACACATGTAAATCTATATATTTTCTCATCACATTTTTATCTTCAATGTCATTTTTTTTTTTTTAATTTAAATAAATTTGAGCCCAACGATTCTTAAGTAGTCAACTGAGCTTAGTTTTACAAATGCAAAATAGCAAATATTTCCCACCTTTAACCTAGTATTAACTTCTTCTTCAATTTTATTTTTTCTTGTTATCGTAGATCCTAAATATCTAAACTTCTACGTCTATATATCTAACTATATAAATTATTTTATATATTATTACGTCTATATATATATATATATATATATATATATATATATATATATATATATATTTTTTTTTTTTTTTGTTTTTGTTTTTTTTTGGTTGCCTCTACAGACCTTGTAGATCTTTGGCCGCCTGAACCAGCCTTCTCCACCTCTGTCTATCTTGGGCTAGTGCTTTTCAGTTTGCGGCATGAAGCTCAGCCGTATCTTTGTTTATCCTATCTATCCATCTGGTTTTTGGCCACCCACGTGGTCTCTTGCCTACTACTCTGGAATTCATTGTTGTGTAAAGGCGTCCTGATGGATTGATACGAGCTACATGTCCTGCCCATCATAACCTCCTTGCCTTCATGCCATGAGATATTGACTGACCAGTTTCTTTAACAGTTCTTTATTGTTCCTTCTCCTCCGTGTGTCAAGGTTCTGGTCCCTTATAGGTCCTGTTATTTTACGGAAAACTTTTCTTTCGAATCTATCAATTCTGGCTTCTAATGTGCCAGTTAGAACCCAGGTTTCACTACCGTACAGCAGAACTGGCTTAACCATGGTGTTGTATTTTTAGGTTTATGGATTTAAGTACCCTTAAATGGGAAAAGAAAGATCTTTTCGCAATTGTTATTCGCTGGTCTATCTCTGTTAGTTGATCATTTATTGAGGTTATTGTGGAGCCAAGGTATTTGAATCTGTCTACTTTTGGGAATGACTTAAAGTCCACGTAGATCATGTTATTAGGGTGGATGTTTCGGCTATCATATATTTTGTTTTATCGACACTGACTTGTAGTTTAATTTGATCAGCTTCTTTAAACAGAGTATGAGTGACTCTCTCAATATCTTCTTGATTATTTCCGAGGATAGCTATATAAACCGCATGTGCTAGAATTTTGTGTTTCATTATGACATGCACCCCTCCATATTCATGTGATATTGTTCTTATTACTTTCTCTAGGGCTAAATTGACCAGTATCGGTGACGAGACGTCTATATATAAAACGAAATTGTTGCCATTTTTGCTGTTGACTATATACTTTGTCTCATCTGTATTTATTTCAAGCCCCAATCCTTTAACGACTTTCATTAATGTTGTTGTCTATAATTGAAGAGAAGGATGGTTGGGGTGATCAGTCAAATAAAAAATGGCAAAAATAAATAATAATATTTATTTTTACATTTACCTATGTATTATTATTTATTTTTGCCATTTTTTATTTGAATGATCACCAGAACCATCCTTCTTTTCAATTATTCACTACAGTCAACCATCAACCCTCAATTATGAGTTGTCTATAGTTTTATAGTGTCTGTGTCTTCGCTTAAATGTACCACATTATCAGCGTACCCAAATACGGATATTGTGTTCCACTCAGATTCAAACCTTTTTCGGTATATATCACCTCTCTAATGGCATGTTCTAATGGCAAATTAAATAAGACAGGTGAAAGGGAATCATCCTGTTTTAAGGTCGAACCTCAAATTCATCGGATAAATAATAACCGATTCTCTAATTTTGTTTCCCGCTGAACTGATAACAAACTAAATTTTATTATGGATAACCATCATAGTTAGCTATTAGAAATATTTGTATTAGTTTATCTTACAATATTAAAATAATAAATGTTGCTAACTTTGGAAGACTCCGAAGAGACCATAGACAATCAGATACATGTTTCTCTTTGAGATATTCATGGTACCATTTACTATAATATCTTGATCATCGCTCCATTTAGATAGCCATAAATTGGATCCAATCGCAAAAGCCTGTGTGGCAACTGACAGAATGGCAGTAATAAAAAATAAGAACCATCCTACAGCTTGGAAATATTTTGAGTATACAGTCCATTTTACCTGAAAAATATTAAATTAAATTCAGATTTGGACCATCAATAATTAATTTATATTTATTTAAAAATATGGAATATATAAATATAGAACTCACAGTAAAATATATTGTTGTGGTTTTACTGATATTTGCTTAATTTTAATAGTATTAGTTATCAAAAGTTATAAAAAATAGTGAGTTATTCAAAAGGCCCAGGCATAGTATCAGGTCATTGCATAAGAAATTAATTAAGCAGTAACTTACACCATGTTATGCTTATCATAAACTGCTGTCTACTGTTAGTCCGATAAGTTGAAGCAGCATTTCCCCTTTCTCGAATTCTCAAAGCATAACATGGCGTAAGTGATTTTTGGGGAGATTTAAGCACATAACAACTAACTTTCTCCAGCAAAAACATGATAAATAGAAGAGTATGTAATGATATAATAAATAAAATATGTAAATACAGTCCAATTCTAAAGGAGAGATTAGTAACATCAACAGAAACAGAAAGATTTTTAAAAACCGAATGAGTGACTCAAGTTTCAAGATTTTTTATCTTTCCTATTGCATTTATCAGCAATGGTTTATTTGCCAACTGATAGTTTTTCTGAAGATTTTTGAACAGCTAATGTGGAATTTTCTTTGAACAAAGCCCACAGAACATTGCAATAAAGGGAAGAAGTTCTTCTAGGACCATCTTTGTCTTCAACGCTGAAGACTTTCTCGTAATATTTTTTAAATTATTGTTGAAGAATGCACTCTCTATCTCTGCCATAGCTCCAGACTGTATTATTTTTTTTGGCTGTTTGGAGTCCGTTCCTACTGAGTTCAATCTTGTAAAACAAAATATAGCGAAAACCACTCTTTGACATATTAGTCATCATCATTATCTAATTCCTCTTTACCACCTTAAGCAGTATGAGGTTGCTTTTTGTAGAGCTTGGACCAGGTGGATCTTTTCCATACTAACTCTCGCCTTGTTTCATTCCAACCCTAGCTTCAGTCATGCCTCCTGCCCAGGAGATTCAGAGTCTTTCAATCGGCTGTCTCCCCTGAACGCGAGTCTCATTAGTGTTCCTAGTGTCTTTGCTCTGATCCTTCCACAAAAGATGGCCTAATAATCTTAGCCTATGTTCTTCTATAATGATTTCGATCGAGATTGGTTTAGATGATTGTATTGCAAATTCTGTCTTGTCTAATCATTTTCTCCACCTTTTGCAGGTATCGCATCTTTAGAACCTGAATCTGGCTCCTGTGCTTCGAAGTGATTTTCTACATCTTATCCTTAATTTCAATCCAGCTCTATTCTTTCAATTGTTTGTAGTAAGAGCAATTTAAACGAAAGTGGGTTTTCAGTCCAATGACCCTTTGTCAGAAGGAGAAGCTACCTCCTTAGAGCATCCTGACCTACTCCCTCATCTGAGGCGGCTTCCTGGATGAAGTGAATCTAAGGTGTGTAATGGAGGTGACTTTGAGTCATTGCGAGTGAGTGATGTATAATCAACTCGGGATCCTGGAGGATCGTCAATCCCTACTAGCTGTGCACTTCACTTAGCCCCTGCGGGTAATGAATTATTTCCAACTAGTGAAATGCTACTGGAGATAAAAAACATTTTTGTTCAGAAGAGGATTATTGTTGGTACCCATATAAAAGAATAATACCTCAAATCTGAATAGTTTATTATATATAGAGTTAATATAAAGAAAACTGTCAATATAAACAATCCTTCGCTATTTTTTGAACAACCTAATAAGTTAGTTAATGGCCTATTTAGTCAGTTTGCTAATTGAAAAGTGCTACAAATACTTGAATGCGTGAATCAGTTTAATGATTCCAGCATTAGGGAATTCTTTATGAAGAAAACTCTTATCAATACTGTGTTATGCATAATATTATATATAACCAATGCACAATGTTATATCAGTATATTATAAATGATCATTTTTATGTAATTACTGTAATATATACTAGTAGACCCGTGCGAAAAATTTGCACAGCATATTGTTATCAAATGCCAAATTAATAAGAAAATAAGATAATGCAAGGTATCCAAAGATAAAGAAATCAAATGTTACTTTATCGATAAATGTAATCAACAAAGAAAACAAAAATTAATTTAAATCTTCATTTTTGTTTAGAACCAACATGTTCACAAATTTCAGTAAGCTGTATCTTTGTTAAAAATAGTCCGATTTCGATGATTTTTTTTTCCTTTTGTAGGGAATTCAGTAATCTTTTATATGATAATGTGCATAACCAATGGAAAAGTGTGTAATTTTTTAGTTATTCGCAAATAAAGTGTGTTTTCTTTCATAACTTGTTTGCCTGAATTTTCGGGGTGATTGGAATATTTTGCCCGCCTGAAGGAGAAGGAAGGCTCGAAATTGGTGGCTCAATCTTGAGATTTGGTGAAAAATTAACGATGATATGGCTTGCCGATCAAAAACACCATCGATAAATAATATAAACTCCTCCTCTCTCGATCATAGAGACCTCAAGTCGACAAAATGAGACATGTATTCAATGACAGTACCACAATTAATGTAAGGCTGTGTGGATGCGAACCCTATGTCTTGCATTATCTCGAAAATAGGAAGTTTTTGGGCTTAAAAACGCAGATTCCGATAGTTCCGGGGGAACTATCCGGGTCTTGCTGTACGCATCAAAATCTTCAAGATCCAATTTGTCCCGTATCGATCTACAGACCTACCACCGTTCCAGTATTGAAGCATAGCAAAATGTTTGTATCGACTTTATTTATTTTAGAAAGAAAAACAAAAGTGGAGAATACGATTCGCTAACCCCTCGTGAAATTCTGAATCCAATGGTACCCCATTCACGGTATTTGAGCATGACAGGAGCTTATAGCTGGTACAAAACCGATTTCGAGCCTTACTGTAATAATATATGTGGGGATATTTCAATAAACTTACCCTTCCTTCTTCAGATTTTTCTTCTACAATTAGTTTATCCTTCTTTGGTTTTTCATTAACACTTTTTTGAGATATTTGAGAAGATCTCCTTCTACTGAAAATGTAAATTCAACTTATTTAAAATTTTTTTTTAAATAATTATTATTAAAGAAAGTTCCGACTTACTTTCTTCCAGTGCTAACAGAGCTGGCTGTACTAACTATTGATCTCATCGACCTACTTATGCTGAGGTGACGATGGAATTCAGGATTACTCTTGATAATATCTTCTTTTAGATTCTCATCGATCTCTATAAGCGTAATTAATAAAAAAATAGATTTTTTATTTTTATTATTACAAAAAAAATTGTTGAATATAATATTAAAGATAATTTAACCGTTACCTTCTAGTTCTTCCTCCGGGATATCTTGTAAATGAGTTATTAAGAATTCACTGAACGCTCCTTTTTTTTCTAGCAATTCATGATATGTTCCGATTTCCGAAATTCCGCCCTCATCAAGAACAACAATCAAGTCTGTCTCTGGTAAAAATGTTATTCCATGAGTCACCAGCACTCTTGTCTGTTTAGAAAATATATATATATTAATATAAAAGAGCAAAGACTTAATCAGAGACATAAATTAATTGTTAGAATATAATTAATTTGAAAATTCCAAATAGAAATCCTTGCTTATCTATAATACATCAATATTATTGATGACATATTTGGAGATCAAATATAACATAACTCTCATAAACAATAAAAAAAATTAAACATAACCAGAAAATATAAGTAATGCATATTCAGAAAGTCGATAACATAAATCATAAATAATTCCAATTTAATAAGTTACTTTTTTTTTCAGAACTCCATGTGAACTAATGACATTGTCAAATATGTGTTTGCCAACATGGCTGTCGACTGCACTTAAAGGATCGTCCAAGAAGTACACGTCGCAGTCTGCATACACAGCTCTTGCAAGGCTGATTCTCTGTTTCTGACCACCACTAACATTAATACCCTGAAAATGAAATATAAAAATTAATATCTTGAAAAGTATCATAAAATAGATCATTCACAAATACTATTGTAGAGGAAGGGACAATATCAGAATTAATCATAATCCTTCTTTAATACAATTCAGATTCTAAATTAGTAAACAAATATTTTATACACTTTTTTGTAGGCTAAATAAATTATATATAATATAATAAGATAAAGATTTATCACTCCAAATTTTAAACGAAATTATCTTTAATATCATTACCAACATAAAAAATCATAATCTCCTTATTAAAAAAAAATCAATCAAAAAAGAAGAAAAAACATCGAATTATATTAAATAAAATTACCACTTAAAAATCAAAATATAGAAAATCGTATGGACATTTAGGTTTATGGCTCTGATATATGAAAAATAAACTTCAATTAGGCACTGACCTAATAGAGTTAAATTCTAAGTGTTAATCCAATAGTTGGAAAGGTACATTTTATTAATGGGGTTTCAGCTGGTCGGAAAATTATAGGTCGCTATGGCAATGTATTCATATATTCATTCATAGGCCAGGTCCTGTCAGGTTGGCACTATAATGAAAAAAAAAATATCTCTGCAATTTATATCAATGTACTGTACTTGGTCATGGCTGAACATGGAGTGGGGATAACATATTTATTATGTTAATCCCATCACTCCTAACCATTATAGCATGATATATAGCTTGAAAACATCGCTGTTTTTATTAATCTCATATAACTCTGGGTTAACACTTTTATTTGTTCTTAAATATGAATCTAAAAATATGGTACAGGCTTACATTATTGCATTAATTGAGTTAACTTACTCAGTTGTTGACAATAATATATTCAGAACTTTATCTTGCCTTCACTAGTAATCTATAGCTAGAAAAAGGTTTATTAACATAAATATATGTCATAAATTCTGTCATGTTAATGTTGTTACAGATTTTGTTTTATTACCTATACCATGTGTGCTCCTTTGTTATAATTTAAACATTTTTTATAAAAGAATTATCTGGAGCAGCTACCTTACTGGACTGACAATTACGTATCTTTATTACTTATTTATTATACTTATTTTTTACTGATTATTTGTTATTTTTCTCTTAATATTTGTATGCATGTTGGTTATATCACAATATTTAATTTTATTATATTTTAATTTTGTTTAAAATTTTTGAATAATGTGTTCCCAAATGTTTTGTAATTTACTGTTATTCTATTGTTTTTTGTGATGTGGATGGCTTCAAGCAATTTTTTGTTGTTATTTTTTTGTTCTTCCTTTTATTTGTGGTTTATTAAAATTTAAATTGTGTTATAGTTTTATTCTTATTATTAATTGATTATTTGTTTATTGATAAATATTATAACCTGTCTCAATAAAGGACATTTATAATAGAGTTCTGTGAGCACATTCACACCATATTTACAAATTAAAAAAAAAATAAAAAAAAAATAATCTAATTTCAAATGATATAAAGCTATAAAAGAACAAAATAAAATATCGTAGTGAAGGAAGAAAATATAAATAATAGTAATAATAAAATGAAAATAAATGAATAAAATAGAATTAAAAAGTTTTATTCTATGGTATACTAATGTTGTGGAGTTTATGTTGTAGATAAATATAACAAATCTGCAACAACATTAACATGACAGAATTCGTAATATATATTTCATTTTAATAAACCTTTTTTCTAGCTATTGACTACTAGTGAAGGCAAGATAAAGTTCTGAAGATGAGTAATGTATCCCGAAACATTACTAGTAAATTATAACAAATACATACTTTGTAGGCATCATGGAAGTTCGTATTGCCAATAACCGAATAAATTTCAACTTACTTTTTCTCCTATTTCAGTTTGATCACCTCCAGGAAGCATTTGCAAATCTGCTTTGAGAGCACAAGCATCGATAACTTTATGGTATTTCTTATTATCGAGATTCCTTCCGAACAATATATTGTCTTGAAGGGTACAATTCTGAATCCATGCAAGCTGAGGCACGTAAGCAATAGAGCCCTAAAATAAAATTGGCAATGAAATTAATTTTAAATGCAAATTTAAAAACAACTAGTATGTCTCAAGATGAACTCACATTAGATGTCCTCCTTACTAAAGCATTCAACAAACAAGAGACATGAGCTAGACATGTTTATTCATATATACAATATAATATTATCAAACTAGTCTATTAAATTGGTGAAGCTTTCTCAATGACTGTTAAAGTAAAAATTTATTTAATAGGTAAATTTAAGGTAAGTTTATTTAGTAAATATAAAGTTTTCAATTTCACCAAAATCCAAAATAATGAAAATCGTCTTTGAGAAAGAAAAGGTACTAAATGTTTAAAACTATATATCTCTGCAACAAATATTCCAATTTCGATTATTTTTTTTATTTTGTAGGGAACTTAGGAAGCTTCCAAATAAATATTGCTATTATCAATAAAAAAATGTGTATATTCGCAAATAAAATACTGAATTGATCATAAAAATTTATACAGCTTGTTTTCAGGAAAGTATGTTATATACATAAATTATAAAGGTTTCAAGGGGAAGACTAGCCAAGTGTCATTAAAATCGTACCAGCTGTTTTGGCACTACAGTCTAAGCGAATCACGTTTTTCAGCCGCCATTTTGAAAGGAATGACCTGATGATAATGAAAGATAAACAAAAAACACTTCTAAATCTTATTGTGACGACGTTGCGTCAAAATTTCAATGAAATTGGAGAAGAACTTTCGGAGATTAGCTGTTTTGAACAAACTACTACCATTTATATTGTTATTTACATACACTATTTGCTATTTTTATTTATTGATAACACTAAAGCTCGTCAATGGCTATTAAACAATAAAAGAAGGAAAACAATCGGTTGAATAATAGAGGAGAAAAAGGGGTTGAACCGTTTTATGTTGGCCTATTTATTAAATGATAAATATATTAACGGTGAAGCTACTAAATACTTTTAAATTAACAGTTAATTATGTGAAAGTGCTTACTTTTGTGTTGACTCTTCCGGACACTTTGTGCATCTCTCCCAGGAAGGCCGAAAGGAATGAAGACTTGCCTGAACCAACAGCACCAACCACTGCGACTAGAGAGCCAGGCTTAACTCTTAAGTTTAGATTTCGAAGAGTTGGTTCTTCGTCAGCTCCCCATGAGAAAGTACCATTTTCCATTACTAATGGATCATCTGGGAATTAAAAAAAATAAAATATTTTATAAAATTTTAGAGGATTTTTCTGGATCGCAACATAATAAATAAAATAAACTTATAATCAGATAAATATTCTTTCGTTTAGGCAAACTGAGAAATGCAGAGTATGTCTACATAAAATACTTACAGTATTTTATAAAATAATTTTTAAAAATAGGTAATTATATTTTCTTTTAAATGTTACAAAAATAAAAAAATACCTTCTTTGTCCTCATGCGATACTATATTTAAATCTATTTCATCGTTATTCAAGAATTTGTTTAACCTTTTTATTGATACTGTAGCCTGAAATAAAAATAAAAATTCTGTTAATTAACCATAACACATAAAAATATTAATAATCGACACTTGTAACTATTGACGTTTTTATATATTTATATTAAAATATTATGAGATTTGATCAAATAAAAATACATTTTCTGTTTTATCATAAAATTGATTAATGGTTTATTAAAAGTAATATTAAAACTTACCTGAACAAGATTTGAGATAACGTTTGGAACCATTGCAAGAGGAGTTTTCATTATGTTAAAAAGAGAAAGGGACACAAAAACTTTAGCTGAATCTAAAATATTTTTTTCATCAATGAGAACGTAAGTCATGAATGTAAGAAGTGAGACCTGAAAAAATATAAAATTATATTTAAAAAATATACATCTCATATCTTAGCCATATTTTTGGTTTCTTGCATTAGTATAATTAGGTATTATCAAAGGATTATTTTAAATTTATAGAATTGAATTTCAACCACACTGCCTATTTGTGTGAAAATGGTTTGAAGATCCCGCGTTATGGCGAGTGGTGGGGGCAGATCAGAAGATGTTAAAGATAACCCTTAATCCTTAAGAGCTGCTGGTTTCTCAGAGCATTCTTTCACTGGTAGCCACGGAAACAGCAGGCCCTCAAGGTAATGAAGAGATGTAAGCTGGCATAAAGATGGTAAGCTATTTTTACACAATCAGTGTAACCTACCAATCCATTAAAATGCAGTCCACTGCATAAAAGTAGAATGTTGGCTTATTAAAACTCATGAGAGTTATTTATCTTAATTAGAAAAGTTGCCTAAACACTGCCTTATGTCTCCAAAACGCAAATAAAGAATAAGAAACCTGTTAATGTTTCACCAATTCAGGCATCATCAAGACATAAAAGGGCAACTTTCAGTATACGATTGGTTGTCATGGAGTGGTGTAATCTTTGATTTGCGGAAAAGGAGTTAAGTCCAATTTTGTGTTTTTCTTAAGGTGGTCATGTTTTTATTGAAAAAAAAAATACACAAAAACTGTTCAAGATAATTAAAATCTGAATATACCATCGTAAAGTAGACAAACTTTTCTTTAAGAAAACAGTGATTAACTGTACTAAGTTCAATGATAAAAGGGACTTTCAGGGTGTCTAATAATGCAAAGCCAACCATTATGCCGAATTATTTTACGAATCAGGATTACAGAGATATGCTACTAGCGTATGGGTACTGTAACTCCAGCTGAATTAGACCTGCTGAAAGTCCCTTTTATCATTGACCTTAGTAAATTTGGTCACTGTTTTCTAAAAAAAAATTGTCTATTTTATGATAGTGTACTTAGAATTTAATTATCTTGAACAGTTTTTGAGCAATTCCTAATTATTCAGTAAAAACCATGAACATCTTAAAAAAAAAGGACAAAATGGTCTTATATACTTTTCCGTTCGGAATCGGCCCATGCATCAAATGAACTTTTTTGATGGAAATTTTGTCTAGAATCTACCTCCAGAGTTTGGCCATTGAACTGAGACATCCTATATAAGGTTGAGGACCAAATACTTTAAGTTTGATATGTGAAATCGCCATGGTTTAAATATAAAAAATAATATCCAAACCGAATATCTTTTTACAACAGGTTGGTCTATTGAAAAAAGAAAAAAAGGTTGAAATAGGTTGGTCAATTAAAAAAAAAAAGTTTGAAAGTGGCAATGGCCTTCCAAGAATTGATTTCTTTTCAGAGTGCTAATTTTTACTTTCACCTACTTATATATGAAATATATAGTAAAGGAAAGTATTGAGATCGTGGAAATTTTGGAATCTGTTTTCAACAGAAATAGGCGTTTTGAGGTCCCCTGAGTCGAAATAACCAAACTGGTCTGTGTGTGTAGCATTTGACAATTAACTAAAGGAGACATAAGATATCGTAACGGAGAATAGATGTAATTCAGGAACCAAATATTTCTGCTAAGAAGAGTAAGTGAAAGTTGTGTGATGCGCGCACCGCACCAGATTTTTATATTTATGTTTCATTGGAGAGACTTATAAAAATGCAAAGAATATTTTTATATAAACATGGTTTATATGAAATAAATTGTTACCAAAATAAATTTTAGTTTATTCACAATAAAGTTCTTTACTCACTATATAAAAACACTCGACCCTCTTATAACTTATTAATGATAATAATAATAAATATAACTTATAACTTATTAACTCACCAAAAATGGAGCACATGTCCAAATAAATGATACAGCTGCCCTAAGATAAGCCGCTTTTCTCAGAACTTTAGCTTCTTTTTCTCTTATCATCTGAACCTTTTCTTCAAAACTCGGTTCCCAGCCATAAAGTTTCAGGACCTTTAAGATATTTTTTTACATTATTAGAATCATATTTATCAAGCATCTACAACTAATGTACACATTTCTTCAACTCTATTATAATTTTTAGAGGACTTTAGTCATCCATTTAATTTTCATTTAATATTCATATTTATAATATTTAGATCTCTTTTCAGGGGCATTGAGCATATCCACTTTAATATAATATATTATATTATCTTAAAATATTATATTAATAATAATAATAATAATAATAATAAGGCTTAGCGAACCCGAAGGTTCGATGCCGACACCACCAATCGCTTGTTACACACCTCCCTCCACCGTTCGCCGTCCAAACCCAGTCCCTTCAGATCAGCTTTAATGCAATCTTCCCACCTTCGCTTCGGTCTACCCCTCCGACGCTTACCATTCGGCACAGCAAATATTAACCTTTTAGGAATTCTCTCGTTACTAAGACCAACAACTTTACAAGCCCATTTGATTCGCCGCGATGAAATTACCTCAATTATATTACCCGGATATAGCTCACGCAATTCGGCGTTGTGTAACCGTCTGAACTCTCCGGTTAACTCATCCTTCTTCGGTCCGAATATTCTACGCAATACTTTATTTTCAAAAACCTTAAGACGCTGCTCATCCCTTAATGTAAGCGGCCAAGTTTCGCATCCATAAAGAACTGTAGGCAAGATAATTGTTTTATAGATCCTAATTTTTAAGTTTCGGGACAAGAGGCGCGAACTGAGTAGTTTTGTCACAGAAAAATAACAAGCATTTCCCGCCTTCAGTCTAACCTTAATCTCTTCTTCAATTTCGTTTTTTCTAGTTATCGTAGAACCTAGATACCTAAATTTATCTACCTGTTCAAACATATTACCATCTATATCGATATCACCAGTAGTATCGCCATTTTTGCAGCTGACCATATATTTTGTTTTATCCACGTTTATTTCGAGTCCTAGTTCTTTACCGGCTTTCATTAACGTTGTCGTATTTAGTTTTATAGTTTCAACGTCTTCGCTTAACAGTACCAGATCATCAGCATAGCCCAGCACGGATGTTGTCCCGCCCAGATCCAACCCTTTCTCGGTGCGCATTACCTCCCTAATGGCATGTTCTAATGCCAAATTGAACAGAACAGGCGAAAGAGAATCCCCCTGTTTTAAGCCCGAACGAACCTCAAATTTTTCGGACAAATTATTACCGATTCTAACTTTATTGAGTGTCTCCGTCAAGCACATCCTGACTAGATTTACTAGTTTTTTTGGAATTCCCTGCTCGATTAGAATATTATACAGTTTCTGGCGGTCAATAGAATTGTAAGCCTTTTTAAAATCTATATACAGCTGGTGAACAATACCGTTATACTCCAATTTTTTCTCTAATATTTGCCATAAAGAAAATATTTGATCAATAGTCGACCGATTCCGTCTAAATCCGCATTGATAGTCTCCGATAATTTCCTCGGCGTATTCCGTGATTCGACTGGTTAAGATTAAAGTGAATATTTTATAACATACCGGAAGGAGTGAAATTCCTCGATAGTTATTACAATCCGTCCTCGGACCCTTTTTGTGAATCGCAATAAGAATAGATTCTTTCCATTCTTCAGGTAATTTCTCGTTCACCCAGATCTTTTCAACCAACCGATGTATTTTAGAAACTCCAGCTTCCCCGCATGCCTTAATTAGTTCAGTAGGAATATTATCGATTCCCGCTGCTTTATATGATTTTAATTTACCGATAGCTACTTCAACTTCCTCTTTACTTGGTCCTTCTATCAACGGTTCAGCACTCTGGAACTCAGAAGGAGGACACCGATCATAATTTCCCGTATTTAAAATATTGTCAAAGTGCTCCTTAAACCTATTCAATATGTCAACCGGATCAGTCAGAATATTGTTATTATCATCCCTAATTCCAGACGTTACGGGCCCTACATATTTACGTGATCTGTTTATACCTTTGTACATGTCTCTTACGTTATTTTCGGCTCTATTAGTTTCTATTTCAATTATTTTATTTTTAAGATACTCCCTTTTTTTATTTTTGAGCAATTTTGTCGTTTCGTTCTTTGAGATTCGGAAGTATTCCAGATTGTCTTCGCTAGGATTATTTAGAGCTTTTAATTTAGCGGCTTTCCTTTTTTCGCACATGTTTAAGCAATCTTCATCAAACCACGGTTTGTTATTCTTATTTTCCTTTTTTCCTAGACACGAGTTACCGACCGCTTTAATATTATCCCTGATCTGTACCCATAACTTGTCAATATCCTCGTGAACCTCGTCAGGAAGCTCTAAAGCTTCAAACCTATTCTTAACATCTAGCTCGAATTGGTTTCTAATTGATGGATTTTTTAATTTTTCCAAATTAAAATTCTCAAAATCGAAACGGTTTTCTTTTCTCTTTTTTATATTAAGTTTTTGTCGAAGTTTCGCGATTACTAATTCATGATCCGACCCACATTCTGCTCCGCGATAAGACCGTACATTGATTATACTGCTTTGCCAGCTGTGTTGTATCAAGACATGATCGATTTGATTTCGTGTTTGCGAATCCGGCGATGTCCAAGTATATTTATGAATATCCTTACGTTTAAACGTCATACTTTTAATTACCAGGTTTTTCGAGATGGCAAAGTTTATCAGACGGATCCCATTATCATTACTATATTCGTGCAAACTTTCTTTACCAATCGTCTGAATATAAACTTCTTCCCTTCCTACCTTTGCGTTCGCGTCACCTACAATTATTTTCATGTAGTTTCGCGGTAGTTTATCATAAACCCATTCGAGTTTATCGTAAAATTCACTTTTGACTTCATCGTCACTGTCTTCGGTCGGACAATGTATGTTTATTAATGCGATTTTAAACCAACGTCCCTGAAATGTAGCTACCGAAATTCTATCACTAAAGAATTGTACGTCCCTCAAAGCGGATAGTAATCTACTCCTAATTAGAAACCCGGTACCTAAACAATGATTCCCGCTTCCTCCGTACCAAATAGTGTACTTTCCTTCCCTCATCGAGCCCTCCCCTGGCCAGCGAACCTCTTGCAGAGCCACGACATCCAAATTGTACCCATTTACCTCATTCGCGACCGATTTTAGCCCCCCTGCTGTGTTTAAACTCCTTACGTTCCACGTACCAATATTTAAATCCCTATATTTCAACTTGCGGGATGAATCCCCTAAAGCAGTCCCCACCCGGAGACCCGAACGGGGGACTAGTTTACCTCCGGATAATGAGCGTTTTACCTTAGGGAGATCCATGACTTTTTGTGGTGTTTGGTGAACTAAAGATATGTGAGTAGGGCGTTCAATCCTACGTCACACCCTCCAGCAAGTCTGGTGGGCACCTACCTCCAGCAAGTCTGGAGGTCCCCTCCCTCCAGCAAGTCTGGAGGGCCTCTCTCATTGTTGGTCAGCGAGTCCATCGGACTTAGCCGGGAGGAACTTCCAAGGAATTTCCACCGACCATCCCCACATCCGCCACCCGTGGGACGCTCCCCATACGCGGTAATGAGCCCGCGCGAGGAAGTATTATATTACTAATTAATATCAACCTGTTTTTCTTTTGTAAAAATATTAGAAAAAACAAAAATCTTTCACAATTAAAAAATCGAAATTTTCTAAAAAAATATTTTGATCAGTGGCGAGTTTGACGAGTCAAATTCATGAAATTTTGTTCTTTGATAAGATTTATTGCATAATTGATAACATTTAACAAAAAATTCAAGCTATTTTAAGACGTTTGTATAACAAATTAATTGGAGCAAAAGACATCGCTGATAATCTGATCATTACGTCATAGAGAATTATTGCTAAGCCCTAGTAGGCTTATTTCAGCTAGTGGTGATTCTTCCATAGATTGATAATTATAAAGGTCATCATTAAATTGCAGCTTAAATTTTAATAAGTCAACGTATGTCCTGCAATGATTTTACCTAGATTTACTATGATTTAATTATTTGCAATATTTATTTTTAAGTAACAATAGTAATTGATAAAGGTTAAATAATTGTAATTTTGCAAACAGAAAGTTTAATAATCTAATAGTACTGAAATGTGATGAATTAAGAATATTCTATCACCAGGAATGATTTGGAATAGTCACAACAATGGAATGTGACAATATAAGCAAGAGCTCTCATGGATATGGGGAGTGTACGATTTATATTTGGTCTGTATGAAGTGAGTTCGCTGAGTTAAGAGTTTGTCAGTGAGTTTAGAATGGTTTAGTTCGAAGACTTTGTTTTTGAAATGAGTAATTCATACAAATTTATTAGAGCTTATCACTTTTAAGTAAGATTACATTGTGTGCAAGTTAAGTATTAATATATTTTACAAAAATTGTGAAGGAAACAGGAGAATTGCATATAGGTGTAAATTACCAGGCTTCTAGTAAGAGTTATAAATAGAATTTAATACTTTAGTTATTTATCAAACATGCCTTAAAAGCAAAAATAATATAAAAGCTGAACAGAGACAAATGAAAAATAACAATCCATTCAGTTCACAGATTATTATCAAATGTAGATCAAAACAAACTAACAAACCTTCATTCCAGACAAAACTTCATTAATTGTTTTGACCCTCTCATCTTTGTACTTCATCTGTTTGACTTGTAAATTCTTAGTTAAATTGGCAAAAAAAGCATTGGCAGGAATCATGACTAACATAACACCTAAGCCCATCAGCACACTGGGTCCTGTAAAAAACAGAAATGTGACATTGATAAACTGAAAATAGGTTAAAATAATATAAACTTTTAAGTAAAATAAAATGTTTATGAGAAAAATAACGTCATTTAAACAGTGAAAAAACAAATTATAACTATGACCAGTATGCATATATATATATATATATATATATACATGTATATATCAAGGGCTGACTGCTCTAAGGTGAAAGATGCAATGCTGTAATATATATATATATATATATATATATATATATATATTTTACAGCATATATATATATATATATATATATATATATATATATTATATATATATATATATATATATATATATATATTACAGCATTGCATCTTTCACCTTAGAGCAGTCAGCCCTGATGATGGCCTGACCTTCAGGTCGAAACGTCGGCATATGTAAAAATAAATATTATCATTTATTTTTGCCTTATTTTTTGACTGACCACCACAAATATTCTTCTCTTCATTATATATATTACCAGATCATTTAGATGATTAGTAAGAAAACTGTTATTTTTAGTGGATTGTACAAATACAGTATTTTATTATTTATGGTACTTTTTTCATATTAGCAAGTTATCACAGTTTATGTGATAATATTTTATAACGGAACAGACTGTGAGAAGAATAAAAAAAATGGTTAATATTTATTATTTGTTTAGATTTCTAACAACAATAATTAACATCTCTACTGATAAATTTTTAGTTACTTATGAGATGAAAAAAATTGTATTGATATAGAAAATGTGAGATATAATTTCTTCTATTATTGAAGAATTTATTAATAACAAGAGCATTCTAAAATTTATTTTGTTGAGCAGATTCAAGCAATTAAGAGGAGGAAACACCCCACAATTAAAAAAACATTAACTGAATTAGTAATAAAATTCACATATTTTTTTTTAGTTTATATTTAATGTTTCGTATGCCATATAAATTAAATAAGTTATAACTGCTATACTGTCCAAATTTCTTCGTACTCCACTGCCATATATTAATGGCGATCCTGTGAAATCCTATTGCCCAGGATCCCAGAAGATCCAAATTCCCTACTGCCTATTATGTTATTAATTAACTTTAAAGTTGTCAGAAGTACAAGTTGTATATATTCCAAATATGAATTAAAACTACAATATCTAGATTTTTAATTTTAAAAAACCTTGTCCTGAGAGTAGTACTTTACTATTTCAAGGCCAATGATAGTTGTGCAGGAAGATGATTTGATCGAGATCACACTCAAGCACCAGATTTTTCTCATTAATTGATTACTTATAAAGAGTACCCATATAATAGAGGCTGAGTGTGCCCGCAGGAGACTCTTCTCACCCCAGGGACGATTCACAGATAATGGAACATAATAAATGATCTGCCATAGCTGGACTTGAACCCTGGGTCCTTGAGAATATAAGACAGCACCTTATTTGTAAATTGCTCTGTCTTACCTATGCTGTGTTATACATTTTTTATTTTCACTGAGATACTTAATCATTAGGGCCTATTTGAGGCTACAGTTTCAAGAAATATGTCGGATTTAAATATTTTTCTTTTTTTTGAGGTTAATGCCATTTTAGAACCTTTGAAATAGCCATATGTATAAGATACATTGTACATTTTCCATTCTAGGTGAAGTGCTTATTTTTCCCAAATAAAGGAGAAAACAATCTTCAAAATCTCAATCATTGGATTAAATGAAGAATTAACAAAGATATGGCGTACTACCTAAAAACTCTTCTTCTTCTTTGTCTTCCTCCTTAGTGCCTTTCAGCGTGTAGGGGCCTCGACCCATTTACGCCATTCATCAGGGTCTCTCGCTATGTCCCTCATATAACCCTACTGCTCGCCTCTTTTCTGTCCAAGCTTGGTTATTTCGTCAATCCAAGTTTTCTCTAGACATCCTCTTGGCCTCTTTTCTCTGGGTCTTGCCTCAAGAAATTTTCTGGATTCCCTGTCCTCGTCCATCCTCATAACATGACCGAACCATTTGAGCGTTTTCTTTTCCACGGTTTCCAGCATTGGTGGCACCTTAACATTTTCTCTAATCTGTTCATTTCGGATGCAATCTCTTCTAGTTCGGCCAGCTACTCTTCTCAGATATTTCATTTCGGCAGCGGTAAGTCTACTTTTGTGCCTATCTAGAAGAACCCAGCTCTCACTACTGTACAGTAGGGATGGAAGGTAGAATGTGTTTTATATATTGATCTTAGTTATATTTTCCACCTCTCGTTTTCTTAAGACCGTGTTGCAGATCTGGTAATAAATGTCATTTGCTTTTTTGATCCTCTTTGATATCTCTTGGTCTATTTTTCCATTTCTACCAACAACTGTCCCTAGGTATGTTTATTCCTCTACCAACTCCAGATTCTTACCCCTACAGTTTATTATTTTTTTTTTGTTCTTCCCTACCTCGCCTTTTAGGCTATACGGGATTTTCCCGGCCCTGGGGGTGAGGGCGGGGAATTTAAAATCCCCTCCGGCACCGGGACGCGAACTTGTACTTTTTAAATCTTCTCAAATCTGTAAATCCGGTTGCCAGGCAACTCACACACTTTAGCCCATTCGGCCACCCCACCCCAAAAAGTACCCTACAGTTTATTTGTGTGTCTTCGATTTCTGGACCTATCTGTATAATCTTACTTTTTCTTCATTTATGATCATAATTTTTCTCTCAGGCTCAGCTTCCCATCCCACAATCGCTTGCTGTAATTTTGCAGCTGAGTCTGTTATGAGGACAATATCATCTGCCTAAACGAGAGCTTGGGCTAGAATTGTTCTCATATCCCATTTTCCTATAATTATTCTTCCAGTCCTACGTTTACAGATTTTCAGAATCTAATCCATAAACACAATATGGATTATCCCTAAAAAATCACCTTTGGGAAATAATAAATAAGCATTAATGCCTGTAATCTTTCGCAAACAAATAACTCCATACCATATCTTACTTTAAAGTCAAAAACCAGACCTAAACATTTAGTTACTAAATTCAATATAACATAAAACAGGTTATGGTGAATTAATTTGGTAAAATAAACCTTCAATTAAAAAAAAAAAAAAAATAGAAAAAGCACGTACCTAATTGCTGCCATAGAAAATATAATGCTAATGCAATTTGAAGTGGGGCAGACCAGAGTGTATTCAAGAATGGTATCACACCCATTAAGGTCTGGGAGTCGACTGCCATCAAGTTAACTATTTCACCTAATGTTGAATGCTTTCTTGCTCCACTTGATAATTTCAGAGCCTAGAAAAGAGAAATAAATGATTTATTTTCAAGAAATGTTGTCCAAATATATTGGATTGCTAACATGCAGCATGTTTGGGTCATATTAAAATGAACTGTTATTTTTAAAATCTGGAAAATATGTAAAATAAAAAAGTACTATAGGATGCTATATAAAAGACATACCTGTATCAATCTGATAAAGTATGGTATACAAGTATAAAAAACCTTTTTTTGGTTATGCAAGTTACAGATCACCTGATTTGGATGTCACACCACTTATACTGCAAACACCAATGTTACTGAATCTCATTGAAGGGATGATATGAATAATGACAAACTAAATATAGCTAAAACTACATTAACTTCATATCTTCAATTTTACAATTTTCTAGAATACAGATCTAAGATTTTGATGAAACTTATTGTACCGGTGTAAAATTAAGTGTTTTTTAATATAAATAGAATGCCAAAGTGACAAATTCGTACAGTATATTGTTCAGTGGTCAAATGACAAATTAATAAGAAAATAAAGGAAGGAGATGGTCCAGGGTTGCGGTAATAAATAGGCTAAATAGTGATAAAACTATTTTATTGAAAGCCGACGTTTCGACCCGACTTTGCAGGTCTTCTTCAGGGAGGCGTGTTCAGCTAGGAGTTTCACTTAGAATTAAGTGAAACTTCAGTTCTAAATGAAACTCCTAGCTCTGAACACACCTCCCTGAAGAAGACCTGCGAAGTATGGTCGAAACGTCGGCTTTCAATAAAATAGTTTTACCACTATTTAGCCTATTTGTGACCACAACCCCAGACCATCTCCTTCCTTTATAATGCAACGGTCAACTATAAATATCCAATAAGAAAATAGAACAATACAACATATAATATATATGGACAACATAAGATATAGAAATCAATTGTTACTTCCTTGCTAAATATAATTGACAAAGGAAATAAAAATTAATTTGAAATTTCATTAATGTTTGGAACCAATATGTTTACAAATTTCAATAAGCTGTATTTTCGCTAATAATTGACCGATTTGAGGATTTTTTCCTCTCGGACATAACCAGGAGAAACGTGTTATTTGCAAATAAAAATTAATATCTTTCATAACTTTTTCACCTGAATTTTGGGCTGATTAGATCATTTTTCAGTTTGAAGGAGAAGGAAATCTTCAAAATTGGTGGCTCAATCTTAAGGTAGAATTAATGATGATATGGCTTACCGACAAAAAAACACCTTTGATAAACATTATAAACTGCTACTATCTCTATCATAGGGACCTCAAGTCGACAAAATGAGACATGTATTCCATTGAGACAGTACTCCAATTAACGTAAGGTTGTGTGGATGCGAATCCTTTGCATTGCATTATCTCAAAAATAGTACGTTTTTGGGCTTAAGAATGCAAAACCCGATAGTTCCAAAGGAACTATCCAGGTCTTGCTGTACGCATCAAAATCCTCAAAGCCCACTTTGTCCACATCAACAGACCTACCACCGTTCCAGTGTTGAAGCCTAACAAAATGTATATATTGACCTTATTTAATTTAGAAAGAAAAACAAAAGTGAAGAATACGATTCGCTAAACACCCGTGAAATTCTGAATCCAATGGTACCCCATTCATGATATTTGAACATGACAGGAGCTTATATTTGGTACAAAAGCGATTGTTTCTAGAGTCAATTAATAATAATTTTTTGTATCTTGTTTTTTTATTCCTGACAAAGAACTAGAACGTAAACTAACCAAATAAACTCTACTACAATACATAGTCAGTGTTTATTAATCAGTGCACAACTTTCGGGTGAATAACTTCTTAAAGTAGAACTATAGGCAATTATTTCCATAATCTTATTACAGACAGATTTTTTTTTTTTTTTTTTTCCTTCATGGAACGGCTTTAGAGACCACGTGAATATCATTACGTTTGGTTCTTTTCATGTTTTTGTTTTTCCTTTCCTTCTATTTTTCTCTCATCATCTCTGCGTGCTTTTGCTTTCTTTTTTCTGTACACGTGACTCCCATTTTCGAATTTTTTTTTTGCAAGAACCTTGATTTCCTTCAATCTTTTCCAATGTGTTTCAGGCTGCCCTGGTCCGTTATTCCTAGTCTTTCCACTTCTTTTTTCATCTGCTTGGTGTATCCTTGTGAGCTGTTGTATCCTCAGATTTTCTGTCCTGTATAATATTACCATTTTAACGACTGTGTTTTAGGGTTATATTTTTGCTTTTGTGGACAAGTTTTTCTTGTTTTATATACGTTACTTGTTGCAAAACTTAGTCTCTCTAGTTTGGTGTTTCTTTCTTTCATAATTTATTTTTTCCAAACCGTTTTTACATGTAGTCTTGCCCAGGTACTTAATTTTTTTAATAATTTTATTGGTATGTATTTGGTTTCTACTGTTTTCTTCTTGAAGTCTAGGTCTATAATCATTAGTTATGTTTTTTCGTAAGAGATTTGTAGACCTGTTTTTTTGGCTATTTCTGTCAGTGGGTTTATTTGGTCGATCTCTGCGAAGTAGGCAAGGCACCTAACTGACATTTTATTATATATTTTTATGTTCATTTAGTTTTATAATTTTTATTTATTTATTTACATTCAATCAGTTCCTTTATATTTAAGATATTAATACATTTATCAAAGAAGTGTACTGTTTTGTCTAATAAATAAGAAAATAATGTAAAAAGGACGTCATCCGGCTATCAAAAATTTCTTTAAATAATTATTTAACAATACCTTTCTGTAAATAGCAGTTGTTAGAGATGTTCTCATGCGAAGACCAACCATAAAAATCCTGCTATTGAATTGTGATTGAATCAAACTTTGTAAGGAAGTGACTAGGAGAAGTGAAGCTGCATAGAAATACCCATGCCAGTTCGGCTCATCATTGGAGGACACGAAGTTTATGACTTTCCTAAAAAAAAATAAAAATATTAGAACCAACTTATTCAATATTCAATAAGCAAATGCATATATATATATTTTTAAAAATATGAATTATGTTTAAGAAACAAGTCATGCTGAATCTTTTGGCTAATTTTTATGCTACATATTTCGCCAAAATTTGATTTTTGTGCATATTTAGGCTACAAAGGCCCATATTATGCATAATTGAATTGATTGGTTTTATTTTAGGCATAGCAAATTGTTTAATTAACAAAATTACATGTTAATTTGTATGTAAATTAATATTAAAAAGAAGTTAGTTATATTTCTAGCTATTATCAATTATACTTCAAATTAAAAATCATGTTTCATTCTAAGTAATGTAAAGATTGTTGTAAACAACCCAATAATGAATGTTGCTTCGAGGTGCTGAGAACCATTTTATTTTGAATGGAAACTTAATACAGAAGAACTTCTCGGAAGAAAAGCCCAAAAGTAGGAAATATTCTTTGAAATATTTTCTACAGACTTATCATTAAATACAGATAAATAAAATTAAAATCATCCCAATATTTCCAAACATCTATTTCTTAAAACTTAATGCATCATTAGAATTTAATTTTTTTAAAAATAATTTGTTAATTTAAACTACGTTCTTGGCTGAAAAGAAAGTGTAATGTTTTAGCATTAAAATTGTCATTTATTAAGAACAGGAAAGTCGTTATTTAGAAATTTTAGGTTTATTATTATTTTGTCTTTCTTTCACTACTAATTTGTTAAAAACTACACTGCATATTATTTATGGCATATTTCCATAGTTTTTGTTGCATATAAATCAGGACCTTAATTATCAGCAAGAAAAACAGATACAAAAATAAATTTAAATACAAACAAAAAATTATTACCACAATTTTATAATTACTTTAAAAGCTCCGGACTGGCAAAAGTCAAAAACACATCAAAAAGTTGCAGAAATGTACCAAATAAAAACATTCCACCAAACGCTCGAGCAAGAGTAGGCACAATTGAGGCTGGTTTAGACTTTACTTCTCTGAGTCCGTTAAAGTCCACTGAGTTTGTCATCTTCTTAAATTCGGCAGGTTCATCTTTAAATGTCCTAGAATTGTTAAAATTAAATTTAAATTATTACTATTACAAAAAAAAATTCACAAAATCACTAAAGAATTTAGTGACCGATTGATTTTAGAATCAGAAAAAAATTTATAAATAAAAATGAAGAGTAGTGTTAAACATATCTCAGTTTCCAAGAGTTTAAAACTTATCAATAAAATTATTTAAAACAAGTAAATCACAGCATTTAATAGTAGAAAAATACAGAAAGTATTACAAAGAGTTAACAATGATTCAAGTTTTTTTTTGTTTTTTTTAATAATATAATTTGCAGTATCTATTTTTTAGTTTTGTACGATTTTGTCCACTGATTCCTGTGAACAAAATCGGGCAGCCTCTGCACTATCAGAGAAAAACACATTTTTCCATAGACTATTGCATCAAAACAGCACAATTTCGACAAAACTTATCTATACTCATCTGCTTCAGGCCCTTTTAATTCTAATATATGTAATATATTCCTGAGAAAACACAGAAAAAAATTATCAAGAAAATAAAACTTATTAGGAGCATAACTCAAAAAGTATAACAAATTTTATATATTATCTTTTGAAAGATAATTGAATTCCCTACACAATAAAAAAAATCTGATGAGGTGCGTACATCACACAACTTTCACTTACCACCCTCTTCTTAACAGAAATAAGTATTTTCAGTGTTTTAATCTATGGGGCAAGCTTGGGTGAACGCGGATGCGCTTGTATTCCTTTGGTTCCTGAATTACAACTATTCTCTGTTACAATCTCTAATATCTCCTTTAGTTAATTATCAAATTCTTTTATATTATAGATTAATGTGAAACAGTCAATTGTTTCAAATAAAAAAAATTTAAGGTACTTTATGGGAAGCTAATATTGAAAATTAGCCATGTAAGCTCTGCTAGAGAACATCAATCAGAATAAAAACTACATTTTATATAAAACTGCTTGATTTTACACTGATATAATGAATTTAATCAAAATCACTAGAGCCGTTTTTGAGGAAATCGTAAAAATGTGTTTAGCCCATAATATAAAGTACCACTTCGGGTTATCCGATTTTGACGAAAAAGTTACTGTAATATCCCAAGCATATAAAAATGTTACATATACATTTTCACTTCCGTATGACTTTTTGTTTTTGAGCTAGACTGTTAACACACACACACACACAGACAATTTTGTGGGACTTGGTTATTTCGATCTCAAAACATATTTCGGTTGAAAACTCAGATTCGAAAATTTTCACGATCGAAATACTCTCCCTTACTATGTCGACTCAAGGGACCTAAAAACATGTATTTCCATTGAAAACTGAGCTTTGAAAATTTCCTAATCAATAAAAACAGAATTTTGTTCTCTGATGTTAGTGTTAGACGTTTTCATTCTAACAGTATCATAAGTAATTATAATAATTATGCGGTTCATACTGTATGATCAATATGTAAAGTTATCATATGTTAAAAGAAAAGCATAAATAAAAATGGTTGTATCAGTAAAATACTTACTTATTTTTATAAACTTTGTTCCAATATTTACTGAATACTTGAAAGAGTTGTGCTGCGCTATCTTGGTGATTTATCGACCACAAGTCTTTGATGGTGAGTGGTCGTTTGTATCCTTTGAATATGAGCTGATCAAACCAAGAGAACGTCAATCTTGAAGGAAAAGAGGAATTATCTTCTGGGTTCGGATTCTGAGTAAAACAACGGATAATGATTATTTAATTATTAACAGTTGACAGATTGAAAAATCATGGAATGATTTCTATTTCTATTTAACTTTATTTTCAAAGTTTTTTTTTTATAACAATTATCAAAATCGTCAATGATAAAAAAATATAATACATCTGCTCGATGTATTGCAACCAGAGGTTGAAACTTCTATGAAACTTTTTTAAAAATTTCTGTGAAACTATTCAGGAAAAGAAGTTTTTAAAATAAAAGTTCTAAGGAACTTAAGAGTAAAGTTCCAAATTTAAGTTATAAGTTTAACTGGTATTTATTAAAGAAGAGAAGAATAGTTGGGATGGTCAGTCAAAAAGGAAGGCAAAAATAAATGATAATATTTATTTTTTACATATGCCGACGTTTCGACCTGAAGTTCAGGCCTTCATCAGGGCTGTCTCCTTAAGTGTTGCAGGGAGAATGGTATTTATTAAAATTCTTGAAAGGTATAGGTATTTATTATAGGTATTTATTAAAGGGTTATAGGTACTTGTTATAAGTATTTATTAAAGTTCTTGAAAAAAGTTCAATTAAATAAAAAATAAACAGCAATTGGGATTAAATTATAATTTGTCTTAAATGAATTACACATCATTCTAAAGTGTGGTATGTTTTAAAAGCTATAGATAAAAGTCATTTTTAAGATTGACTTTTTAGCAAAATCTACAGAAATTTTGAATATTTTTAAAAAAAAATAAAAGTTCTGTAAAATTTTTACATGAAAAGTGCTAGGAAAAAATTTCTCGTTTTAAAATAACTGAAAAACTATTGTCAAAATTCCGATGATGCTAAAATTATTTGAAAATAAAATTTTTTTTCTTCGTTTCAAGATCTGGTTGCAATACAGTTACAAATATACCATGTAAATTAAAAGGAATAAATAATTTCAAGGAATTCCAAAAACTAATCACACACATTCTTAAGAAATGATTCAGAAATCAAACATTTCTCAGTCTACCCAGTTCCATGTAAGATACAGATATTTTATAATAATAAATCAATGAGAGTAAACATTACCTTTGTTTTAGGATTTTCAGATTGTTTTGGTGGAGCATCAACTAACCAATATGACAGAAACATTACGAAGCTCAGAGAATAATAGGCTAAGTAATAAATTCTTCTAAATTCTGTCACATCCTGAATAAAAACAAAACAAAAACATTTAGGTAAACTTATGGTATAAAACATGTTAATCAAAAGAAGCGTTAAAAAAAACTCTATCTTACACTTGAAAGATGTCCAGTGATTTCAGTATAAAATTGTGAAAACCCCATCAATGCCACAAGAAACCAATATAAAAACATAAGACCAGAAACCCGCTGGCCATATTTCCTGTGATATATTACTAAGGTAATACATAAACCCTAAAAATAATATAAAAACATGTATTTAAAAAATAAAAATTCATCAACTCTACATGAATCATGCATGATAAGATTCTTACCAAACAAGCTAATTTGATTAAAGGTGTATAAAAATCAACAGGAAAAACCTCTTCTGCTCTGTTGATGTTGTAAATGAATTCAGTTACACATAACACTATAAGAAGTCCAAGAACAATCTGCAAATTTAAAAAGGTGTAATAAGAAATTCCGTCTTCAATTTCCTTAAATATATTAATTATACTAAACATTGTGCTGACAACATTTTGTTAAAGTATAAAGTTTGTTTGGGAATCAGGCAGTTATACATGTGCATATACGCTCACCTCAGGAGGGCGAGATGGAGAGGTGTGTGATTGCCATTACAAGAATATCATTACACCCCCTCCCAATAATTTGTAGTACAAACATTTAAAAAAAAAAAAGTTAAAATGAATAAAAAATAATTACATGAAAGAATAAAATAAAATACATTAAGAAAATATCAATAGCTAATATATAGCAACAGATCATAGAATTTTATGATTCATTCACCCCTCACGTGCATCCCTACTTTTTTACTAAATGTTCTTATCCTATTATCCATGGAAAAGTTAAAGAGTTCATCTCACAGCTTCAAATCTTTTCAAACTTTGAAGATGTCAGATATTCGAATTTCTCATTGTTTCAATACTCTCCATTTAAAGTATTATTAATATGCCATCGCCAATTTAATAATCTTTTAACGACAGTTCCTTTCAGCATAATCAATAGTTACTTTGAAAGTGACAAATAAGGCGTGCATATCATAAGCTTCATCAAATCGTTTTTCAAGTACTTAAAAAAAAAAAATTATTTGTTACACCCCTTCCTCTTGCGTTTGAGATCTGCTAAATGGCGGCCTAATGTAATAGTTCTATGTCTCTGTAATGAGCACAAACTAATAGCCTTTCATAAGCAAAGATCACATTAAGCTGGTGTCCCAAGCTTCTGATATCCTTTTCTTCTCCGATATTTTCTGGGTTAGTTCTAACAGCTTGGTTTTTTGGAGTTTTCTCCCATCCTTAAACAGCTCTGATGTCAGATCTAGCCTTTCTCGAGGCCTTTTTTTATGACGGCAGTTATTTCTACATCTGGAATATTATATGAATGTCCTCTTGTGAATGGAAGTCTTCAGCGAGGCCCATCTTCTTTGCTCATGAACTTTTCTTGATTGAGAAGCTGCTGTTCTTTCAAGATTCTTAGTATAAATTCTTTTAATCCCATCAGTTCACCATATTTTCCTCTCATTGGTATGTTTATAATTTTAATATCATAAACCTTCTCTTCTGAACAAAATTTACATGTATTTCCAGTCTGCTAGTTGTCTTCAATGGTTTATAATCTTTCTTTGACAACCTTTTTTTGAAGTGAAAACTTCTTTAGGTGGGTTTTTACTTTTAATTACAGTGAATTAGATTGATCCGTAAGATTTTAACGCTCAGGTAAAGCCAGCTATAGTCGACTAATTGAAATGTTTTTACATATTGTTTAAAATATCTCAGACACTAACAATCGGACATGCATACTGTATGCGAGAAAATTGTTCAGCATTTCATCCTCTCTGAAATAAGCTTGATGAAAATTGTATCTTACTTAACGCAATATCATGTTAGAGAGCATTTGACCGTCATTACAATGAGTTATTATTTATAATTTATATTTCATATTATTAATCACGGCTTGTCGCTGTTTTCACTTCTATCATATGGTCCAAAGCACACAAAGTTTTTTTTTCATTCTTGTACACCAGCAAATAGTTAATCTGGTTTTTTGTACCTTTAGAACTTACCAAAGTGTAATTGTGAATGTCATAATTTTATTTTAAATATTTTATAAATAGAGTTTATAAAGAATGTTTCCCACAGAGATTTTTACATTTCTAGACAAATTATGAAGACATGCTTGTATTTTTACATAATTTTTTGGCAATAATTCTCAATTCATTTTTAGGTTGTACGTAATGTGTCATAAATATTTTTCAATTTTTAAAACTATTCATTTTTCAATAAAAAAGTTATTGAAATATACCTATGTTATGGAGACTATCCCTTCTCCCCATGCTTAATATATAAAAATATGTAATATATTTCATTGTTTTATAAACATATTTTCTGATATACCCATAAGGAAAAATAAATAAATAATATTAAACATCCATACTTACCAATCTTAATAAATTTTTCCAATTCCAAGGGATATTTCTGGATTTACTATTGAATGTTATAAATATGTCGATGCATGAAAAAATCCAGAGGAATAAACCTGGTAACCAAACACATGCAGTCTTTTCGAAACATGATGTTAACTGTGGATAGTCTGAGTTCCATGTTAAGTTAGCATCCTTAAAGAAACAATAAAACAGTTTAGTTTTAATAAAACCCAAATATAGTTAGAAAAAAAATTAATAATTGATTTGAAATTTCTTACCCAAAATGGCGAACCACAGAAATCATTTATTACTGTCCAGTCAGTGTCCTCTAGGAAGCTCATTTTGTAGTTGATGCCACTGCTACTTTGGTCCTAGCATGAATCTTGGTGGGACTGAAAGAAAAAAAAATAGAATATTGTAAATATAATTTTAAAATCTCTTTGTAGACTTCTACATTTAATCTCTTTTATTTCCAGTTTTTTTTTTATGTCTAGAAGGTTTGGAACAAGGAAATCGACTCGTATGGATGCTGATCGACTTAGCACTGGAGAAGGAAATAGAAACGTCACATGAAAATGAAGGAGTTCTCTTCGGAATGAATACTAAAATCCTTGTTCATACAGGTGATATTGTTGTCATTGTAAGCAATCAAGAGGACACTGATAGACTCACTAAAACTCTGATAAGAGATGTAGAGCAAATTGGCTTTCAAGTAAAAGGAGATAAACCAAAATATGAGATAATAATAGGATAATTTCACTCCAATAACAGGGTTCGCATCAAAAGAAATCGTTTCTGAATAGGACAAATATATGGATGGCCAGAAATAGACAAACAGAACTTTCTTTTCTCATTTAAAGGTATTGACATCTGGAAAAAATCTCTGGAAATCTCAAATTAAGGCTGTATGGTAAAGTCAGTTCTAATATATGGATGGCTATGGGATCTGGACAAGAAATATTGAAAGATTTGTAAGGGAAATCCTCCACAACTGGAGTGATATGAGATCATAGTACTAATGCATGGAGTTAAAGGGCCAAGACTAAAAATAAAACCGCTTAGAGACATTGGCATATCAAACATTTCAAGATATAAAGGCAAGGAGCAATCCATCAGGGAGCATCTACATATTAATTAATGCCTTGATAGTTGTCAGAGATCAGGTGGAAAGCCAAAAATCGGGGAATTTTTCTTCACCAAGCCTAAAGAAAATAGCTGAGGGACCTATGAAGTTTTGGTACTTGTGACTTGGCCAGTCGCCACTGAACCTACCTCCTTATCTTGTATAACCTCTTCTTATCACTCGTCTTTGCTTTGTTACTTGTGTTTTTTTCTCGTTATTCAATTATTTTCAGTTTTTTTTTTTGTTATTTTCTATTTAAAATGGATATAATACTACTTTGGCAATAGCAGTTTTCGGAAGAAGCTGTGAAATATTTCCAAATGTTCGAAATAATTCAAAAGATGAAATTGTGTGAAGAAAGTTATCTAAATGGAGTTAAGACAGGAAAAACAAATGATGTTTTCGTAGGAGTTGCAGGAAAATAAATTCTATAAGAAAAGGAACGTGGTTAGAGAGCTCAAGAATTACCTTTTTAAGTGCTTTAAAATTTATTAATGACAGGTCTCATAATTTAACAATTGAGTTGTGCAAATAACAGCTGAAGCTATCCAACAAAAGTGTGTCAGAGTAGAACAGATTTTTGAGAGGTTTGTGCTCATATAAGTTACAGGGCAACTGAAAAAAATTGAAGGCCCCCAAAAAAGTGGTGGAAATAGACAAAAGTTTTTTTCCAAAAGAAGAATACCATTTTCTTGCTATTTTGTCTCCTAAAATAAAAGCGTTTTTTATTATTACATTCCTTTTTGTCTGTTTCAATTTCCATAAATATAAATGAGAAAGTGTTATCAGTGTTCAGGTTATAAACAATGGCGAATAGCAGTTACAGGAAACCAGCTAACTTACAAGTACCGAAGTTTTAACTGAAGTCGATAGAGCGCGTAATGGGACAAAAGCGTAGTTTTTCGGAAAATTATTTTCTTGGTTGTTAAATTTCTCGTAAATAATTCTGAAAACTCATATTAATTTTTTGCAAAAAAATATCATAAATGACTAAATCGGTACGATATTCAGTCTAAAACTATCGGTTCGATATACATTATTTTGTTATCATGTAACCCTTGTGCCACAGAAGATCAGGAAAACTGAAGATTATGAGTTCACTATTCAATATGGATATTCAATATTCAATATGGAGAGAATCACAATCTCAATATGGCTCTGCATTGCAACAAATAAGGTAATTATGGCTAATTACAATTTGTCCATATTTTATACGATGAAAAACTTGTCCTGTCTTAATTTAGTATAATTTTTTGAACTTCCAAACGAGCTAGGCTTGAGTACCGCATTGGATAATTCTTGAAACGTACCTAGAACAAAATAATACTTCTCACCTTTGAAAATTGGTTTCCACTCTCTTTACTGTCTTCCTATGATTTACCTTATTCATTGTCCAATCACTTTGTACGTAATATTGAAAAAAAAAAAAATAGTAAAACAAAGACATAGAAAATTGAAAAGGGGGCGAGAATATCGTTTCATTCCCCCTCAGAAAATTTTGAAAAACAAAGATTTAAAAAAAAATCAATAACAATTAATGTACACGAATGAATAAAATATTTAAACTAAAATGAATTACAAAAGTATGATCAGTCGATTAGATGCCTTAGATAAGAAATAGAAGTAGGTACGCAAATATTATACCACGCCATATTGTCCTATTATTGAGATTTTAGTTTATTTTCGAAGACACTAGCGGATCTAGTATTTAATTTTTTTTTGAGGGGGGCTTCATCCCAAAAGCTTTTGTTTTCATAAATATAACGATAATTAATTTGAAAAAAAGAAAGAAATTAACTACGTATATGACGTGGTGTTTAAGCGATTATTGAAGTCCTATTAAATGTAATTATCCGAACAATAATATTTTAAGAGATAATTTTTAATATTTTTTTTTCTATAAAACATGGTTATATTTTACCATTTTGGGGAAGGCTTCAGCCCGAAAATCCCCTCCCTTGAGTATTATATTTTAACTAATTTGAGGATCTATTTTAAAAGTAGGTTGAATTTTGAAATAATTGTTATTTGAAACATATGGTAGCAGAATAGTGTACCGATTGAGCTATTTGTTGTTCTAGCATTGAAGAGGATCCCATTGTTATAATATATGGTACAGATACCTTTTTATCAAATTATTAACATCCGGCTGAAACTTCGTAAATAGCTTCATCTCATAGTAACCTACAAATATTTTATTTACGTAAATTCTCGGAATTGGGTAGTTTTCAATCTGGAGATTGGAAAACTTTGTTTATTTTTTTTATATACTAAAAACTTGAAAATAACCATTTGCTTTCCACTTTAATCGTAAGATAACTTGAGGCACAAAATCAAGAAAAAAGGTGGCCTTCAAAAATATTGAGCCATTTGGCGTAACCTACATCCCCAAATTGTCAAAAGTTATCTCACGATTAAATTGGAAAGAAAATGGGTATTTACTAGTTTTTAGTACCCACTTAAATAGATAAAGTTTGCTGACCTCCGGATTGAAAACGCCCCAATTCCAAGAATTTTCATAAATAAAATGTTTGTAGGTTACGATGGGATGAAGCTATTTACGAAGTTTCAGCTGGATGTTAATAATCTGATTAAAAGGGGTCTGTACCACGGAGTATTAACTATAAAAAAAAAAAAAAAAACCGGGATGGAAACATCGAATAAATAGCAGGATCAATGAACATTTTATTTTCTGCATGAATAATTATTAAGTGACCTAATTTCCAATTAAATAATTATTTTAATATATATATATATATATATATATATATATATATATATATATATATATATATATATAAATTTATTTTATATGTACTATTATATTATTCGTTTTACAATAATTATGTTAATTATCATTCATGATTTTTATTCATAATACAAAATCTCGTATCTTTTTAGGAGGTCCATCGCCCCCCTTTCCTCCCAACAACCATAATTAACAAAAACACTTTATAACTTAAGTTATTTGGTTGTTTTGATTTTTTTATGCCCTTGGGCAGTGGAAGGAATTTATTGCATGTATATATTGTATTATTGTATACTATATATGTAATTGTTTCAATAAACATTTTGAAGGGTAAGAAAAAAAAAAATGTTTTGATTTTAAGGCACAAAACACCTAATATAACATTAGCGCCCGATCACTAAAATAATACCACTAAATCAGTTTATAGAACTTGCTATTTCAATTAAAAAAATATTTGGCTATGTTGGCTAAAATATAAGTAAAAAAGTTAAACTAAATAAAGCTCCTTAAATTTGGATGAGTGAAACGTTTTGTAAATAAAATACTTATTAAGATATATCGAAAAATATTCAAAATATCTTAGAACGGCAAAAAATGCATGTTTTTCTAATTAACTTTTATATTTTTTATTTAAAAAGTGTAAATTGTAAATGCCAATCAATGTTTTTGATAAAGTATTTTCGTCTAGAACACGTAGTTAAGAAATTAAACAAAAAACTGAAAAGTCCGAACATTTTGAAGTTTTGCGGTTGCTCTAAAGTTTGTAAAGTGTTTTGAAATTGGAAAACTAAGATTCTTGACCACAGAAGACCCACGTACAACATATTAGTAGAGCATTATGTTTGCATTTTTTTTTTCCAGAATCTCGTGAAGTATTTACTAAAAAATAACTTTCACACCACTTACCACATTAGTAATCATGAAAAGTTTTTCTAAAAAAGTTTCCCAGATACCGTGATTTTCTGTATCTTAACAGATGAAAGATCCTTGTATCTTTTATATCGTTTACCGTCACTTTAAATTTACAGACAAGTATATGCATCGTTTTATGTGCTGGCTGTTTTGTCGATGTGAATTTTTAGGTATTTTTAAATCTTTACTCTATGAGAAAATTAATATCCCTTGCAAAGAACTGTATTGATATTTGACAATGAATGGCATATAATCAATGTACGTTGTCGAATGGGTTGCAGCTATCCGACTGTTTTTGGGATAGGATGATTTTGAATGTGGATATAGAGGAGAAATACCGAATTTCGATAGGGAGGGAATTCCAGAAATTAGTACATTTTTACTTCAATCCAGGATGAAACTTCTTTTATTCCTAAGAACCTCTTTATATTATTGATCTCTTAAATTTTAATTCGAATATCTCATCTAGCCTCCTATTTTCAAAAAATGATTCATTTTGCATATCTTTTTTATTCATAAAACCTCTTTTTGTAATGTTCTTTCTATCCATAAAGACTCCTATTTATTTGTCTACGAATATAAGTTATTTACCTCCCCCTGATTGCTAAAATATCCAATAAAATAAAAATAAAAAATTATATATTTAATGCTGTATGGATGAAGATGTAGAGGAAGTAAACGCATATTATTTTTAATTATAGTATTCTTATGACACAATTTGCCCCTAAGCTAGGATTTTTTTTTTCGTTTTATTTCTGTGTCACTCACTACTTTTCTTTGAAATATTATTATCCAAAAATTAGATAATTTCAAACAACCTACTGTAGTTGATTAGTTATTGTCTGAAGTATTTATTTGACGTATTAAGTTTTGAAAATAAAGTGCTAACAGTGGGTTATTTCTCAACAGCTTGTTCGTTTCAATATAATTGTGTGTTTCATTTACTAGATGTATTTTTATTTCAAACTGTATCACATCATGAAAAAAAAAATTGAATCGATCTAAATCAATTAATTAATTTAAAAAATAGCTATGGCGAGGATGATAAGTCTGAGCATTAATTACTCCGAAATAATAAAAAAAAAAAAAATTAAATTAAAGTCTCACAAACTACCGGGACAACATTTCTTTTAGTAATAAAATTTATCTTACAGATTTAATACCAAGAGTTATAATTTGTTAGTGTTTTGAGCTAGCATTGTTTCAAAACACTCATAAAGGATTGCGTATATATTAAAATAAAATTTTTACAATAAGTTTTTCGTGTTTTGGGTTTAAAATGTTTCCAAATCCTCACGGGATCTCACGGAATAATTTGAAGCATCGAACTCAAAACTCGTTCCAGTCGTTCGCTCAAAAAGTCGTTACAAATAACTCTTCATGGAGTAACGTTCTATCACGACTTTGTGCACGTAAAAATACTCTGTCATAAATACGTGAATAGTTCACAATTTTTTTGCTTTAATTTTTATGATTTGACGAGAATATTAAATAATTTACCTGCATTAAAACTTTTTTTTTTCGGCGCCTCAATTTTATCTATCCACCAATTTGTTTTTTTTTTCCGTACTTAAAAGCTGAAAACCTGGTGAAAACGTCCAGTTCGTTCGTTTATTAATCAGAGCTTAAGATACATTTCGCTTTTGAAAATCAATTTGGAAATCTTCGTTTACTTTCCATCGCCGCTATTTTTTTGCTCAAATTACCTTCTTAACAAAACAGCTTAAAGAAGAATGCCAAAATCGCTGAAGATTATAGAAATAAACAACAATTTTATCTATCCAGTTTTTTTATAATTTGTTTTCGCGCTTCAAAAACTGAAGACCTGGTGTAAACGCCTACTTTATTATCCGTATACAAATATATCTAAAAATATATTTCAGGTCGAGAATCCAGTCGGGTTGTAGCTCATGTAGTTTCTAATAAATTTTTAAAAAATTTGGCCAAGAAATGCTATTTTTCGCTCAACTCACCTGAACAAAACCACCTTAAAGTAGAATGCGAAAATCTCCAAAGATGTTAGAAATACACTTATAAAACTGAAAATTCCTGTATGCTTCAGACAGAATTCTTTAAAGACACTATAATATACTTACTGGAATATTATAAACCACTAGCAAGGAAGGGAACCACAGTAAAGGGAAGAGTGCAAAAGCCAACTGAGGACTCTTCAGTCATAATTTTCTTATATCAGTATTCTTATCATTTCTTGAAGTGACGTTGCACAACACAATAAAAATATGTTTTACTGTGTAAATTTTAAATTCTTTGAACATCGTTATACATCAATTGTTACACCAGTGAGTGAATTCACACAGACTATTTATTGATTTTGATATATATTAATAAAATAAAAACATTGAAAAGTTTCTTCATTGTTACTGAATGTATTCAGTTATTAAAAAATAAGGGTATTAATGAACGATAACTAACAGTGTCAGCCGTGTTAAATTTTCTTTATACATGTCTGTTTTATGTATATATCAAAATGTTCATGTGATTTACTGAATCACATTCGAATTTTTTTTTCTTTCTCTCTTTCGCGCCTCTATCCTCAAGGGTCATTGACGTTTTACTACGATTTATTTTATTTGTAATACTCTATTAACTTTAAAAAATCAAAAAAATTATTGTAATTGGTAATTGGTTGACTGTCGTGGATAATGAAGAGAAGAATAGTTGGGGTGGTCAGTTAAAAAGGAAGGCAAAAATAAATGTTAATATTTATTTTTTACATATGCCGACGTTTCGACCTGAAGTTCAGGCCTTCATCAGGGCTAAGAAAATAACCAGATAACAAGGTATGAGAAACATAAGTAATGATGGTAAAAAAGATAATAAAAAATTTATTAAAAAATTTTTTCTAATAAAATAAAATAGATAAATATAAAGTAAAATGAAATTGTTAGAATAATGACTAAGAGCTAAGAGATAAATAATAAAAACCGTTACAAAGTGTGGAATGATGAAGTAGGCATAATCAAAAAGGGTGACAAAAGTGTTACAATGCGAATCTTAGAATAAAATGGAAAACATAAAAAAGGAATATGAAGTTATATAAGTAATGAAAATAAATAGTAAAATTAAAACATTGAGAATGGAGTAGTTAGATAGAAAATTTATCTATCTAACTACTCCATTCTCAATGTTTTAATTTTACTATTTATTTTCATTACTTATATAACTTCATATTCCTTTTTTATGTTTTCCATTTTATTCTAAGATTCGCATTGTAACACTTTTGTCACCCTTTTTGATTATGCCTACTTCATCATTCCACCCTTTGTAACGGTTTTTATTATTTATCTCTTAGCTCTTAGTCATTATTCTAACAATTTCATTTTACTTTATATTTATCTATTTTATTTTATTAGAAAAAATTTTTTAATAAATTTTTTATTATCTTTTTTACCATCATTACTTATGTTTCTCATACCTTGTTATCTGGTTATTTTCTTAGCCCTGATGAAGGCCTGAACTTCAGGTCGAAACGTCGGCATATGTAAAAAATAAATATTAACATTTATTTTTGCCTTCCTTTTTGACTGACCACCCCAACTATTCTTCTCTTCAAAAACATTATTGATTCTTTCTTCAGTATCTTGAAGGATTTCTCTTAATGTTTTGGCTAAGCCTGTTTTTTGTCTGTGAATTTCAAATTGAGAACAATCTTTCAGTAAGTGTTTCACTATTTATGGAACGTTATTACACTTTACACACGAGGGCGCTTCGAATCCTCTCAGAAGATAGCCATGTGTGAACTGGCAGTGTCCTAACTCGGCAAAGCATAACTTCTTTTTTCCTTAAACATCTGTAGCTTGTGAGCCAATTGTCGCAATTAGGTTTTAATTCTGTCATTTTGCATTCTTTCCTTTTATATTCTTTCTTCCATTCTGTTAGTAGTCTTTTTCTTGCGTGGTGTAGCCAGTCTTCAAAGATAACTTTCTTTAATCTTTCTTTGTTTTTTACTTCTCACCATACATTTAATATTTCTTTAATAATAGAATTACTTGGGGATGGGTTGTCGATGGCGGCTAAGACACTCCATGAGTCAGTTACAACAAACCAACACTTTTTTCTAGAATCTCTTATAAAATAAAAACTGTTCATGATGGCAGTCGCCTCTCCTGTAAAAATTAATTCGAAATTTATACTAAATAAAAAAGTAAAAATTAAACAGAATAATATACTTTTTCGTCGGCAATAATATCGTTGGGTGATGGCTATTTTAAACTTAGTACTCTGTGGTACAGCCCCCTTTTTATCGAATTATTAACATTCGCCTGAAACTTCGTAAATAATTTCATCTCAATGTAACCTACAACTATTTTATTTACAAAAAACGAAAGGAATTGGAGCGTTTTCAATCTGGAGGTGGTCAAACATTGTCTATTTAATTAGGTATTAAAAATCGTAAATTCACATTTGCTTTCTACTTGGATTGTAAGATAATTTGTTCACAAAGTCGAGAAAAAGGTGGCCTTCAAAAATATTGAGCAATTTGGCGTGACCTAGACTCCAAATTTTCAAAAAGGCGATATTATAAAGGAAAAAAGGCCTACTATTTTTGTAGGCCACCTTATTTATCGATTTTGTGATCAATTTATCTATGAACCAGATGGAAAGCAAATGGGTATTTACGAGTTTTTAGTACCTAAATAAATAGACAAAGTTTGCTCCCCTCCAGATTGAAATTTCCCCTATTCGTAAATAAAATATTTGTAGGTTATGATGAGATGAACTTATTTACGAAGTTTTAGGCGGTTGTTAATAATTAAAAAAAAAAAAGGGATCTGTCCCACGGACTATAGTTTCAAGTGACCCCACTTATTATATCTCTCGATTCAGGATTAGCAATTTCTTCACGAAATTCGATTTTTTCAGTGTATTCGATTTTATATACTAGACTCCTAACAAGAATAACTCAGTATAGCATACACAATATACTGTTAAATACTTAAAATCACAGATATCTTCATTACTAATTTCCAGTCATCGCTATTCACTACCGATTCTGAGTGGAGTAAGTGACCTACCTTAAAAACCGTTAGGGCTTAGTGGACGCGAACTTTGATGCTTTACAACTTTTACTTTGTGGTTTTTACTCTTAGAGGACGCATTTCCAAGCTACAGCGCTGTTTATAGTAATTTGTATCATTTTTTTACGAATTTGGTAAAAACCAGCTTTGGTTGACCGTGGTTATCGACCATACCATTTATAAAATTATTATGTTAAGGTACCCATTCGACGCACAATTTAACGCCCTTTAGTTTCTTAAAGAGTGCGTTTTTTTGTTAAATGCACTGCTTAGGAGTTATAGGTGAAAAAATAAAAATATATTTAAAAAATGTGTCTTTTTTGGCTGTAAAAATTTTACTCTTGGTGCGTTAGCAATTTTGTTTTTTACATGTCTTAACCCATTTATACAAGTTAAAAAACAAAAAAATTTCTCATGGTTCTCGTAATGAATTTTCCGTTTCGATTCTCAAGTATAATATTCTTTAAACCAGCTACCATTTTATAGGTAGCAAGATCTGACTGGCATACTCTCATTTTTTTTACTATAAATATTTTAATTCCCATATCCCCATCCCCACATATATTATTACAGTAAGGCTCGAAATCGGGTTTGTATCAAATATAAGCTCCTGTCATGCTCAAATATTATGAATGTGGTACCGTTGGATTCAGAATTTCACGTAGGGTTAGCGAATCGTATTCTATACTTATGTTTTTCTTTCTAAAGTAAATAAAGTCGATTCAAACATTTTTCTAGGCTTCAATACTAGACCGGTGATAGGTCTGTAGATCGATACGGGACAAATTGGGCTTTGAAGATTTTGATGGGTACAGCAAGACTCGGATTCGGAACTATCGGGCTCTGTGTTTTTAAGCCCTAATACGTACTATTTTCGAGATAACGTATAGAGTTCACAACCTTACGTTAATTGTAGTACTGTCATTGAAGATATGTCTCATTTTGTGGACTTAAAGCGCCTATGATCGAGAGAGGAGGAGTTTATATTATTTATCGATGGTGTTTTTGATCGGCAAGCCACATCATCGTTAATTATTCACTAAATCCCAAGATTGAGCCACCAATTTTGAAGGCATCCTCCTTCAGGCGGACAAAATAGTCCAATCATCCCGAAAATTCAGGCAAACAAGTTATGAAAGAAAACAAATTTTATTTGTGAATAACTAAAAAATTACACAGTCTTCTCTTCCAGTTCCAAAAATTCCACAGTTATGCCCATGATTATATAAAAGATTACTTAATTCCCTCGAAACCGGACAATTTTTAGTAATGATAGAGCTTATTGAAATTTGTAAAAATTGTTGGTTCCAAACATTAATGAAGTTTTAAATTAATTTTTGTTTCCTTTGTCGATTATATTTATCGATAAAGTAACAATTGATTTATTTATTTTATGATACGTTGTGTTATTTTTTTTTTAATAATTTGGCATTTGATCACTTAACAATATGCTGTGCGAATTTTTCGCACGGGCCTACTAGCATTCGAAAAAATGCTTTTAAAGTTTTCATCAAATAATGTTGATTCTTTCTCACTGGCTCTCGGACTAGGTTGTTTATAATGTGGAAATGATCTATGGTAGAAAATAATTTTTTAAGCAGAAACAGGAGTTTCAACCGATGTTTATAGGAAATATATATGCGGAGAAGTGACCGATGCGCCTATGTAAAAATGCAATGCGTTAATCCAGCATATATCATCGGGAAGTCATGTGTTGGCAGGCAAGGAATACCTGATGAGGAATAACTGACCAAGATTGTCAACCAAGACCTTTCCTTATTATATAACATGATAACTGTATAACTGGTTCTCTATTGTCCATATGAAACCAAACCGGTACTGTCTGGTGAATATAGAAAAATATACTGAGACCGTTCTATAATTACAGAGAACTCGGTTGTACGTAATAAACCGAACATAGTAATATAAATAAAATAATAAAATAAATTTTTTATTTGTTTTAGGGCGAACCCATACAAATGGAGTTGACTTTTATACACATACAATTATAAGAATATACATAAATATGATTCCTAATTAACTACATTAATTGTAAAAATCATATATAATATGATAATAATAATAAGGCTTAGCGAACCCGAAGGTTCGATGC